GATTTCAAGGTTGTTTGCTCACCAAGGCAACTGGATCTTCGCATTTCGATCCCTGGTATAGTCGAACATGTGCTTTGTAGAGTACTGACACATTATGATAAAACAGTTTTTTAATGGTGTAATAATTAAGGTCATTACGTGTGGTAAACTCTGTTAGGATAGTCGGAAAAATATACCAATAATTATCGTGTTAAGTCTACGGTGTCCTTGGACCTTAAATGTACATTTCCTATTGGTCGATGTTTATTTCACTTGTTAAATATTTTGTAAATGTTGTTTCCTATTTTATGGTACTATGTGGTATGTTTGATTGGTATATAAACAAAGTATGTTTGAAATATAATGATTCATAACTCAGAGGCTGTGACTTGCGTTCTTCACTCAACTGGCTGGGACAGACAGCGAAGCGGGACCAATCAGGGCACTAGGTCGTTCATACGTGTTTCCGTGTCCACTGTCACAGAGGCGATCGATAAATACGCTGCTTATCAAAACCTGCAGTCTCACACACGCGTTACAACAAACTCTAAAAAATCTTTGGGGAATTGATGTTTTTATGAAATACGAATCAGTATCACTCAATATCACGTCATCATTAAGTTATTCATTTCAAGTTCGTGTTTGTTTAGTTCTTAGTCTTGGTTAAATTCTGTTAGCCAAGTTACGATGTGATCATTGGCATAAGGGACTCAACATAATGAGTATTATGTTCTTACGTTAAGTAGTTCATTCTACTTTGAAATTAGCAAAATACACAAAAAATGATTTTCTGATAAATGAGTTGTCCAGGAATTCTTGTGTATATGAAGTTCAGTGATGACCTAATACTGTTTTATTTCTTCAGTAGTAATCTACTAAAACGACGGTTAAATTAGAAATGAGACTGTTAAAAAGAATGCTGGCTTTGTGGCTTTCTATAACATCGACCTTCGCAATCAGTTATTACAACTCTTACATTTGTAAACCCTTCAACTCCCAGTGTATAATGTTATTGATTTCTTCAAGTTAAGTTTTCTTGATGGGATTCCACTTTATAAGGTGAGTTTACTAACTCTACTCTCCATCCCTCTACTTTACCTAGGCTTTGTACCTTCAGTAACGCCAAGTGGGCTCCAGACAAAGATACCAGATACAAAGGAATGCCTCTTACTACTTGTAAGTGTATTAGATTTCTGAATATCTTCAGAAGACATTCGTTGTATTAATAAAGACTTTCAAACCCTTTATTACCTTTATAAAAGTGAATATATTATCACAGAATATATATATTTCTTAATCTATTCATCTTTATCTGTTCATTTGTTACCATAAGTTACGTAATCAAACAAAAATTGTACTCCACATAGTAATACTTCTCAAAGTACTGACTTATATGATTTTAAATCATGCCTTAAGAATAATAATTTTATACTGGCCATAACCAAATCCAAATAAGAGGAGAAAAACGGAATTAACCCAGTTATTATTATATCACATCAACCCTGAAAGTATACCCATAGTTTTCTGTAGTACGTAACCTTGAGAACACTAGCTAGTGGACGACAGTTTCAACGTTCGTCAAAAGACGGTAATAAAAGTCACTGACATAGATAAACTTCAGAGTGAAACATCTACAATCTTTAATTACATACTCAGAATGGATGATTAGATAATGATAATTATAACACAATTTTATCCCTTTCGTTCTGTCTTAGTGATTTCACTTTAATATATATTTCTTAATGTCCACAGTGTCTTATAGTAATCAGAGTATCACTTATTCTTTTTGATTGAGATCATGAATCGATTGATGTTAAACCACCATTGAAAACCTGAAAGCACTGAATGGCAGGTTCCTTCTATTAAGGGATTTCTCAGCAGTACACCAGACCGAAAGTTTTAGTTCCAAATCCCGTGAGATGGCATCGTCGATGTGTCCCATAATAGGATGAAACGGCCGTCCAGTGCTTCTAGGTTTTCAATGGTAGTCTAACATTAATTGATTCATGATCTAAATGTACAACTGCTTACCATTTACCACTTATTCATCGATTCAACAACTCATATAGATTTGTTTTAATTGTAGTTACTCTTTGATAAAATGTGATTGTAATTTATAGATAACTGTTTACTTTCATTTGTGACGCTTGTTGACCTAAGTAATCCTAGTTATTTTTGTTCTACTAGTTGTGCTACTGACAAACTTTATCAGTAGGTTAAATTTTAATACAAAAGGTTTTCCAACATCGTCACACTTGGATCCATATAGAATAATAATAATAATAATAATAATAATAATAATAATAATAATAATAATAATAATAATAATAATAATAATAATAATAATAATAATAATAATAATAACAATAATAATAATAATAATAATAATAATCTGTTCAAAATCCAATATTTCTTGAGGAGATATTATTTCCATACAGTTTGATTCTAATTGTTTAAAAGTTAATGTATTATTTTTTGTTTCACTGCATTCTCAGTTTCCATAGGAATTAAAATCAAAATCAATCACTTGATATTCTTTGTCTAATTCATTGTTTAGATTAGGCTTTTATAGGTCAGATAGTATTTTATTGGCTGCGATTTTATTATCTATAATTGTTCAGAACATATTTAAAATGGATAATGCATTGTAACTGAGAGAATCTGATTGGTTACAAGATAGAATGGATCAATCAAATGTTTATCAAGTTTTATTTCAGTAGTCACCGGATTCTATTGATACTCTTGTAAATTTACACTGTGTAGTATAGGAACAAAGTTATTCTGTTTAAAGATAAACCAGAAATCAGCTTATTCAATCTTCAATCAGTTTAATTTGTATAAAAATATCAGTATGGGGTTATGGAAATTGTAGTTGAGAGCATGAATTGACCAATGTTAGACCACCATTGGAAACCTAGAAGTACTGAATGGCACTTGGACTCCTCAACAGTGTGTATCAACGACCCTGCACACAGGAGTCGAACCCAGGACCTCCGGTCTAGCATACGAATGCTTAACCTCTAGACCACTGAGCTTGCCGGTGTTCAGAGGTGTTAATGTTCAATTTCAACTAATCCACGAAATTGTGCATCCATCTGTTTTTGTCCGAGGTAGATATCTCTCCCTACCTGACACAGATTAGTTCCATTGGTCACGGCTTCTCACTAGAATTCCGAGAAGTCCATCACAAATCTAGTCACTAATGAGTACATGTTAATTATCAGTATGAGGTTGTGAAAATTGTTCAGTTTTTTTATTGAGAGTATGAATCGATTAATACATTTCTGTGTTAATTTATAGCAGCTGTGATTAATTTGTTCATTGGTTTCAATAACGTGTCTGAACTACACATTCAAAGTTTGTTTCATTTTTGCATTCATTAAAGTGGGAATCCTTTTTGAAACTTTCACTGAATACATGTATCCTAAATGACTGTTTTTCATTTATAAAAAATCTACATTCACTTCAAAGTTACAATGAAAAGACATACTTTTAGTAAATAAGTATAAACTACATAGGAAACAAAAGTGGATGGTAATGGAATTACTCTTTAGAAGAAAAAATGATATCGTTGTCATTGGTAACAACAAAGTTTTATTTAGTCTTTCAGATCAAATCATTTAATTAACATTTCACTGATTGAAATCATGTGTCAACTGAAGCTAGACCACCATAGAAAACCTGGAAGCACTGGACAGCCGTTTCGTCCTAGTGTGGGACTCCTCAGTAGTGCGCATCCACGATCTCGCAGCCCGCGATATCAACTCACTGAAGACAATGGTGTACAGTGGCGCAACTTCGTGGATTGGTTGAGGTTGAGCATCAACACCGTTGGATGCCGGCTCAGTGGTCTAGTTGGTTAAGCGCCTGGCGCGAGACTGATAGGTCCTGGATTCGAATCTCGCGGGTTGCGGGGTCGTGGATACGCACTGCTGAGGAGTCCCATACTAGGACAAATTGGCCGTTCAGTGTTTCCAGGTTTTCCATGGTGGTCTAGCTTCAGTTGACACATGATTTCAATCAGTGAAGTTTCTGAAATCTCCATAGAACGCCTTCTGATAATTAAATTTATCAATCATCACATTTAAATAGAAATATTTTTTAAATTTTTGTCAGCTTCTTATTTGCTTGGTTACACATGTTACTCCTCATGGAGGAGAATAAGCCACCCATCAACACTCTCCATCCAACTCTGTCCTTAATGATTCTTTCCAGTTCTTTTCAGTTGCTAATCACTCTTTTTCATGTCTCCTTTCAATTCTTGATGTAGTGTGTTCTTTGACCTTCTTTTTTCAGTTCTTTTTCGGGATTCCATGTTAATGTTTGCTTCTTGATGCAGTTTGATCATTTCCTCAATGTGTATCCCATCCACTTCCATCATCTTTTCTAAATTTCCTATTCGGATGAATGCTGGGTTGTTTTGAGTCGGTATCTAACGAGACTGAAGGCCCTAAATTCGAATTCCCCAAACGGGATTGTGGATGTACACTGGTCACTGAGAAGTCCCACAATAAAACGAAACAGCCATTCAGTGCCTTCAAGTTTTCTATGATAGTCTAACATGAATCGATTCATAATCTCAATCAAAAACTTAATACTCTCCACAACCCCTATACTAACATTAAGAGTAATACACTAATGTTATAGCTTATAATTGACACAGGCTGTAATTCAGAATTATTTCTCAAGTAATAATTCACTATTCAAGATAATTTACACATCTATACACTTTCATATTTGTACATATAAACGACCTGTTCTTCTTCTTCTTCTTCTTCTTCTTCTTTTTCTTCAATGGAATTGTTATAAAATAGATTCATTCTTATATTGAATTCCATTGAAAAGAAATACTCACCATAGCAACTATTGTTATGTATTACTGTTTATGTGGTAGCCGTTGTCATGTATTATTATTATCAATCAGCCTCCATTTAATAGTTATATATGTATATATGTGTATATATATATATAGAAGAGAAACTAGTTTCATTATTCTATTCTGTCACTTCATGAACATAATTTTTTTTTAAAATAGAGAAGATTGAAGGACATATTCTCTTGAATTCCTATTGGTTAATTGGTTACCAATGTTCAAGTTTCATCTTACATAATTAGAATCTTGGTTCCTTTTTATAACATTCATAACCTTCTTGACGATTTCATTTGATTCATAAAATCTATTCACATCAAATAGTAAGTTTTTATTTGAAATTTAATTTAATTATTTTATGTTTGTAATGTGATAAATAATTACTTATTTACTTACTTATTAACGCTTGGTACCTCTCGTGAAGAAGTATAGGTTACCCATCAGCACTCTCTATCTAACTCTGTTCTTAACCATCCTTTCTAGTTGTTATTCATTCTTTTCATATCTCCTTTCAATTCTAGACGTAGTGTGTTCTTTGGCCTTCATCTTTTCCATTCCCTTTCTGGGTTCCAAGTTAGTGCTTGTCTCGTGATGCAGTCAGATGGTACCCACGATGTACGTTCTACCCACCTCCAGAGTATTATCCTGATTTTCTCTTCAGATGGAAACTGATTTGTTAACTCCTACAGTAGGCTGTTGATCATAGTATCCAATTAACGGATGTTCATTATTTTGCGTAGACAACTGGTTATAAATACTTTTACATTTTTGATGATGGCCGTGACAGTTCTCCATGTTTCAGCTCCATACAGTAACACTGTCTTAACATTCGTATTGAAGATTGTGATTTTGATATTGGTTGACAGTTTTGATTTGAGTTGCATATGTTCTTCAACTGTAAGAATTCATTCCTAGCTTGGCCAATCCTTTCAATGACGTCTACATCCAATCTTCCTTGTGCATCGATGATACTGTCTAGTTACGTGAATGTTTCCATCACTTGCAGAGCTTCTTCATCAGTGTGATTGTGTTTTATGTTTTGTATTTTTGGATGTTACTTTTTTATTCGTTTATGTTGAGGCCCACTGATACAGTGGCTGCTACTACACTAGTTGTCTTCATCTGTATTTGTTCTTAAGTATGGGCTAGAAGCGTCAGGTTGGTAAATAATATACGATCTTAATTAGATCTTTGAATGATACATGAATCACTGATTCAGTAGCACAAAAAAGCAGTTAGAAAGAATGACTTATTTTGCCAAATCGAAGTATAAGACAACTCTTCAATACTGTGAATGTTTAACTATATTAAGTCAGTCTTATTGGATCAGATAGATTGTTGCTAATAGTAGTGTAGTGAAGAAGAATACCAGTGGGGACAACCGAATGTATTCGACACAAAATTACAGGACTTGTTAATAAAATCAAACAACCATAAAGTAAATACATAATTTGCAAAATGTTCACCAATTGTCTCAAAATGACTCAGACTTCATTATTCTTTCATTTTCATACAAATTGCATTCTGTTTCTATTCTTTACTGTTTGATCCTATTGTCTCTCTGCTGCCAGACCTTCCGTTCACGACTAACATCATATACTACTTATGTCCATATAAGTAGCACACACCACAGTAGTAGTAGTAGTAGTACTATCAGTTTTGGTATTAAATCGATAATTTTTCAACTTCCTAATAAAAGCACTGTACAATTGCTTCGTGACAGATGTTAAGTTCATCTCGGTTTTCATTTGTTGTCAAGGTAAAGATAGTCCATGATGAAATTACCTTTACAAACCTTTTATATATCAGTAATTTCTTATGAATTAAATGGAATTTTTTTAAACGAATCCAGTTACAAATGGAGATTAACAGGCTTGTCCTAAGAATAAGAGTATTTAAATGAATGGTATCAGTACTTTTACTCTTTAAGCTTTCAACATAAAATTTGTTCAGATTAAGATTAAATATCAAGCATCTAAACTGAGTAGTTCTTCTGACATCATGACTAAAATTTGTGATAAAGTATAGGAAAATGTCCAATACATATCAACTGCTGAATTATAGTACCCAATACCAAATAACTCATACAATATATTATCTGAAAGAGGGTTCTGTGTAGATTGTAATATATTTATGGTTGAATTCATGAGTCGGTTAAAGTTAGATCACCATGGAAAACCTAAAAGTACTGGATGGCTGTTTTGTCCTAGTATGAGACTCTTCAGCAGCGTGCATTCACGCAGTGTCAATTTCTAGGATCATGGGTTTGAATCCCGTGCGCGCGATCGTGGATGTGCACTGCTGAGGAGTACCATATTAATACGAATCGACCGTCCGGTGCTTTTTAGGTTTTCCATGGTGGTCTAACTTTAATTGACCTGCGAATTCAACTATAAAATATATTATGTATTGAAAATGTTGTTTACAAAAACATAAAGCACATGTTATGTGTACATTAACTTCAAGGGGAAATGAGACCTATTGAACGAATTGACTTTTTTCCTTACAAATTTCAAAAGTCCTTATTTAATTCCCCGTGACTAACAAAATCGTTATTATCAGTATAGGGTTGTTGAGATTTTTGAGTTCAAATTGATATCATGAATGAACCGAGAGTTCTGGACTTGAATCTCAAGGGTGGGATCGTAGATGCGCACTGCAACTGAGGAGTCTTATACTGGGATGAAAGGGCCGTCCATTGCTTCCAGATTTTCAATGATGGTCTCGCATGGATCCTTGTTATCATTAACTAATGACAAGATTAATGTTTGAAGTGAAACACACTAATCTACTTAATGGTTCTACTATATTTTATAAAGATTGAAAGATATAATGAAATTTTACTTACAAAACAGCAATCGAATGAATAGAAATTAACGATACACTAGAAACGATAAATGAAGGACATTTTTCTAAAGTCCATCATCTAAATGTCCAGAAAGTGTTTTACTTTTTTCATAAGACGGAATGAGGACGTTGATAAACATGAATTCAGTTTAAAGAACATGGAAATCCTAAGTAGAAGAATCATGTACTTACTTGACTACTTACTTACGCCGGTTACTCCCATCGTCCTTCTCCATCCAACAGTGTCCAGGAAAATCCTTTCAAGTTTTTTCCAGTTATTATTCATCCTTTCCATATCTGCTTTTACATCCCAACGTGATGTGTTCTTTGACCTTCCTCTTTACCGCTTCCCTTTAATACTACTCTGTTTAAGACTTTTATTCCACTGTATTGAAAATAGTCTTAGTTCATGAAGATTTGTGAAGATTATTGAATTTTCCTAGATAATATCTTGCATTAATCTTAGTTAAACATGAACTGAAAATCAGCCATCTCGTCCTAGTATAGGGCACCTCAGTAAAAGCATCCACGACCCCAGCAAGGATTTAGAGGTAACGAGCTAGTACACGAGACCGAAAGTCCTGACTTCGATCCTCAATAGAGAATCATGAAAGTTCACTGTTTAGGTGCCTCATACTAAGATGAAAATTGTATTCAGTGACTCCCAGTTTACAATCGATCCACGAAGTAATCTATGAAAATTGGTAAGTTGATAACCTTGTTACTTCAGTTCTATGGATACCAGACCATATATGCACAAGTATAAGCTTTTTCTATAACACATACTAATGTTCCCCTAATAAACTCAACCAAAACACAAGTTCCAAGTTTACACTAGTCACCAAATCTTTGTCTCGTTTTTCTATTAATTTGTCATATTAAGGTAGAAATAACAAAATGTTAGACTTTTCGATTACTACTTAGTAACAGTGTGGTGTGTTTTACTGATGTTGACAGATATAAGTAGTATGTATGACCAATCAAAAGTGAAATGCCTGGCGCTAGAAGGTTAGGAAAATCGTAGAGAAGAGAACGATAACCGAAAGTGATTAGTATGTAAACGAAATAGCAACAAAGTTTGACACAATTGGTGGATATATTTTTACAAATGAAGTATTTACTGTATACTTCTCAGATTTTAGTAAAAGATTCTGGCATTCTCGTTTACTACAACAGTTCAGTAAAATCATTCTTGAAATTATTGAAGACAAAGATTTATTGAACAAACTATCTGCACTGAACGAATAGGTTCCCTTCAGACATGATATCCGTTTCATATTCTACTAACAATGATAATCATCCACACACTAAATTCTACTGTGAACTTATAATCAATGAGTGTAATTGAATAAGGCATGAGTTAATTCTCACTGATGACAGTTAATGAAGATGATATAATAAAGTACTAAGTTAACTGAAATTAGAACATTTCAACCGTTGGTTATTGACTATGAGGTTGTATACTCTTTAGTATTATCGTTCACAGGGTCGGCAAGACTATAATTTATAGATGAACCAATCAGATATAAGATAAGGAGTAACAAATTTTGGCGTAAAACTCATCCATACATTTGGCTAAATAGACTTTTGACATTATAGCTGATGTCAATTAGTGATGAAAACCCTAAATCGAATTCTTAGCCTTAGCCATCAACTGTAAATGAGAATTCTGATTGCTTCATAACCATCATTTAGTTCTAATCTGTAGGTGCCCACTCTGAAGGTCACTTCGACGTCGGTCAAAGGTCGTCCATGAATTACAGTCTTACCAATTATTCATTGAATACATCATTTGTATATTTACTTTGAATTTTCCTTTACATATACTTCATCATTCTTCTAATGTTATTGTTATTCCGATTGCTCCCTATTTTGTTTCCTGTTTTCTTTTTTCAATCTTTTACTGGTAAACACTTGGCATTCAATTCTTGCTACATACTACTTGTATCTGTTTCTATAAGTAGTACATAATACAATCACATCAATTATAATTATAACCACAAAAAGAAGAGAAAATAATTATTCAGCTTTAACTAATATGATATTCAGTTGAGTTGGTAAACTTATTTAGTTGGTTTTTCTTTAAATGAACTATGTATATGTCAACATTCTGTCTTCTAATGGAAGGATTGCAGCTAGAATTCTTATTCAGGACTTGTCAATAGGATATGCTTACATATCATTGTTTGCATTCACATTAAGATCATAATCCAGGGTATTCCTCTTCAAACAACAAAAGGTTGACCAATGAGTTATGTAGTCTAAGTAGTCATGAAATCACTAATTAATACGGTTTTTATTATGTCACAATAAGTAGAAAAATTGTACTTCTGATGTTTGGTAACTTAATGTAGGTCACTTCTTCAAAGCGAATAAAAATCCGAGATCAATTCCTATATACTATTTAAACTCCTGTTAATTAAATGTCGTTTGTTTAGTTACTCTGAAGAAGTAGCTCATATTAAGTTGCGAAATATCAGAAATACAATTTTTCTACTCATTGGGACAACTTTCTACCCGATGTTCAGTTTATTTGAACCTATCAAGTTTAACTTCGGCATTGATATCTATAGTCATGAAATTGTTTAACAAAAACTTATCAAAATTACAGTTCTGAATATTAATAATTGGAAAATTCGAAATCTTACCTATTGTGGCTAATGGTGGGGTTCAGGACGGGCATTTCGTCCTATTTGGGACTCGTCAGCCGGATGTACCTGCACCTCAGAGTTGATGTTCACTCTGGGACTCAAACCCAGTACCATTCGCTTCAAACGCCATCGCGTTATCCACCCAGCTTCCTATTGTACAAGCTTGAACCTGACCAAACTCAATATTTTAACGAATGATATATTTGCGTTTGAAGTGAAAAGTATTGGATACATGTCCGATATAAGCATCATCATATATACAGATGTATTCAGCTGGTAAATTCCAGAAACGCTACTCATTGGTTCTACTACTAGCTACAATCAATCTATTCTATAAAACATTAGTTGAAGTTAGACAATAACACCGTTGGATGCAGGCTCAGTGGTCTGGTGGTTAAGTTCAAGCGCGCGAGACCGGTAGGTCGTGGATGCGCACTGCTGAGGAGTCCCACATTAGGACGAAACGACCGTCCAGTGCTTCCAGGTTTCCCATGGTGGTCTAGCTTCAACTGACTCATGATCTTAATTATTGAAATTACTATGATATCGACAAAACCCATCTAATATAAAATAACTGTATCGAAGTAATTCACACTCGGTACATATGTCTCAATTTTAAGCCTGAATATCAACAATGAGATCATTCAAACCATTGATTATTATTATTGATGCTGATATATCCGGAAGCCAATGGTAACTGTTTGGATCCATTTATAAACTTATATTATCTATATATTCTTATGGTATAACCATTCAGTAACTAGATTATGTGTATCTATATTCTTCTCATTACAAGCTTTATTTTGGCCCACAGATTAACGTTATACGAATTACAGTTTTTAAGTTATGCTAAGTTATGTTAATTACAGTCTTCCACATTCCCAATTACTTTTGTCTAGATTTGTATAAATTTTGTTTTCTATTTCATGGTACGGTGTAGTCTGTTTGGTTCGTACATAAACCCAGTATGTTTGAAATATAAGGACTCATATTTCGGAAGTTAAGATTTGTATTCTCAACTCAACATACAGGGCTAAGCAGGAAGATAAGACCGATAAAGACTTTAGACTGCTCGTGTGGATTTATGCATTATTGGTCCGGTTGGTAAGTTACTGTTTTGTAATTGGTGGTATCCTTACGTTACACAAGGCAAAAGGTCACAAGTTATAACAGATCTACACGTATCAAAACATTTTCGTTTACTTTCTACTTCTTTTTTTGTTTTGCTAATGTTTTTAAATTTAGAAAATGGCATCTAACAAATCAGAGAAACAATTTATGTTATCAGAGAATGAATTTAATCAAATGGCATATGATAATACAGCATTAATGAATCCACAATATATTGATGATATAGATTATAAAAGTGAAATTCAACCAATGAATTCTCAACAAACAAAATCAAATCAATTCATGAAAAATGCTGATTCAGATCGTTATAGTTGTTGGAGTCGTTTTACACACTGTATTCGGAGTAAGTTAGCTATTTTGATGTTGACAACAATAGTAGCAGTGGCATTTGTCAGATAGATAGATAGATAGATAGATAGATAGATAGATAGATAGATAGATAGATAGATAGATAGATAGATAGATAGATAGATAGATAGATAGATAGATAGATAGATAGATAGATAGATAGATAGATAGATAGATAGATAGATAGATAGATAGATAGATAGATAGATAGATAGATAGATAGATAGATAGATAGATAGATAGATAGATAGATAGATAGATAGATAGATAGATAGATAGATAGATAGATAGATAGATAGATAGATAGATAGATAGATAGATAGATAGATAGATAGATAGATAGATAGATAGATAGATAGATAGATAGATAGATAGATAGATAGATAGATAGATAGATAGATAGATAGATAGATAGATAGATAGATAGATAGATAGATAGATAGATAGATAGATAGATAGATAGATAGATAGATAGATAGATAGATAGATAGATAGATAGATAGATAGATAGATAGATAGATAGATAGATAGATAGATAGATAGATAGATAGATAGATAGATAGATAGATAGATAGATAGATAGATAGATAGATAGATAGATAGATAGATAGATAGATAGATAGATAGATAGATAGATAGATAGATAGATAGATAGATAGATAGATAGATAGAAAGTTACCTCATACTCGACATTGATAAACTTCACTATTCACTGTCTCTTATTAAACCTCTAGAAACTCTCTCTGGAATGTAATAACTGGTGATTACATGAAGAAATTTTGTATGGACAGTTTGTAAAGATAAAGCTGGGAGAGACCGCTCCACTCGAAATGCTTTTACATGGCCATGTGCATACAGTCGCTGTCAGGAAAGTTCTACTCACTGCCTTCTCGTTGTAAGGGTGTTGTTTGCGGAATTGAGAGGACGAAAAGGTTGATGGATATAAAGGATCCATCTGGGGGTGTTGGATGTATTCGTCACCCTTTTATACTAACATTTATGTGTTCAAACAAACAAATAAATACTGTCAACTAAGCGTATCTACAATTTCGGAAGAATAATACTTTCTGGTCAATTTGAACATTCGTTACACAGATAGCTAGTCTGAGACGTTACCATCACTAGTGTCCCGAATAACAGAGTTTCCTAGTGACCAGCTCTAACTAATAAGCTCCAGAGATGATGCTGTTTCCGAATAATGTCAATGAAAATATAGATTTTATACTCGGCTATAGTTTGATAGACTTATGTTATATATATATATTAACATGTTAAACAAAGATTTCACGTTTTTTCTATTCGAACTAGGTGCATGGGCAACAAGATTAACTGAGGATACAATGGATAATAGAGAATTATATATACATACAACATTGAGAGAATTAGTGATTTATATATTTTTCCTTATTACCCTAATGATTGGTAAGTTATGTTAATTTGATAGAAATTTTGCAAATAATTATTGTTGTTGGCAAGACTGAAATTTTTAGACGACGTTCGAGCCACGTTAGAATGACCATGTGAATATTCACTTACTTACTAGGGTTAAAAGAGAGTTATGTTGATGGAGTTTTTTTCTCTGAGCTGGATGGTTTGCTCGTGAAGCTTTCATCGTTCTTTTGAACGACCTTATCAGCACAAGCTTTAGATAGAGGGTGATGTGTTAGTATGAGAAGTTAGGATTAGTATTTGGAATTAGAAATTAAGATTAAGATTATCCCAAATTGATACTAGCTATACTTTTTTTTACTCACACCTGTTACTCCTAATGAAGCATAAGCCGCTGACCAGCATTCTCCAACCAACTCTGTCCTGGTCCCTCTTTTCTAGTTCCATCCAATTCTTGTTCATTCTTCTCATGTCTATCTCCATTTCCCGCCGTAATGTGTTTTTTGGTTTTCCTCTTTTCTTTTGGCCTTGAGGATTTCATGTGAGGGCTTGCCTTGTGACGCAGTTGGGTGTTTTCCTCAATGTGTTTCCTATCAACTTTCAACGCTTTTTCCTGATTTCTTCCTCCGCTAGGATCTGGTTTGTTCTTTCCCACAGAAGGTTGTTGCTAATAGTGTCCGGCCAATGGATCCGAAGTATTTTGCGTAGACAAATGTTAATAAACACCTGTATATTCTGGTTGATGGCTTTCATAGTTCTCCAGGTTTCCGCCCCATACAGTAGAACTTTTCCTGGAGTCCCTCCGAGGGCTACTGCTGGTCCCAAGCCCGGATAAAGGAGGAGGGTTGGGCATGGGGTTAGCGACCCCATCCCGTAGAATACTAATTCGCTAAAACAACACTAATCAGAAAAAAATTATACAATAATAATGTGGATCCACTCAAAAATGATAATTTATCGAATAGTAATAATAAAAAAGTATTGTAATTTCTTTGTTTAAATTTCAGTTGCTTACGGACCATTCAATTCAAATACTTATTTATTGACAAGCAGTATGAACACTATGTTTCTTCAAGCTCAAGTAACCAATGGAACAGATTCATTAAGTACTGCTAGCTCACTTGATGTTTTGTGGTCGGTAAGTCAATAGTTTTTAGTTTCATTTCTCTCTTTTTTAAGAATGCTTCTTTTAAGTATAAGTATCAATTTTGCAAAGCACTCAAAAACACCATCATAACCTAAAGTATTTCTTTCCTTAAAAGTGTTTTACTACTAAACATTTTATCAGTAGTATAAAATCTATTGCTAAATTGAATCCATCGGAATATTTAGATTGACTCATGTATCTCTCATGTCAAGCTGACAGTATGAACAAAACGGTTAACATAGTAAGGAAGAAATGAGTTATGAATTCCTCACGACTTCACTCAAAAATACGTTAAAATCACGAACCTGTCTAAGTTAGACAATCATTGAACACTTGGAAGCGTCAGATGATCATTTCGTCCTAGTATGGGCCTCCTAAGTAGAATGCTTCCATGACCTCACAACTGAGATTCGGACCTAGGACCTTCGATCTTTTGAGCAAACACTTAATCCTTAGACCCCTGAGTCATAATTCAAAGATGTTGGAATCTAATGAAATACACGGATTACTGGTTGTTGACATCATATTTTCATGATTGTTGTGTTGGGAGTGGGATAAGCAATGACTACTTACAATGATAACTAACCGCTTCAACAATGTATTGTCCATCTTAACCCACCATCCTAAATTTATTCCTTGAAGCTATTATCATCATTACTAGTTACTAGTTGTATACATAGTGCTTTTATAAAATATTTTCTATAGGTAATACAAGGTCCTATTATGAATAATTGGTATAGTAATACATGGTATAATACGCAACCATTTGCAACGGCAAATAACTTAACCCTATTATATCAGAATCGTCTGATTGGTGTGCCACGTTTAAGACAGCTTCGCATGTCATCGAATTCGTGTATAATTCCAGTTTATTTCGCTGATGATATCAAAGAATGTTATGGACAATATCAAGAAGCGAATGAAGATAAAAAACCATTTGGTTTAAAAAATGGTACAGCGTAAGTGAACAAGTGTTTGTTGTTTCTACTTTCGACACTAGTTTTAAGTATCTGAATTTTCCAGTTGTTGCATCAATTGGTCCGTTTTCAATGTTAAATAATGGCTTGTTCAATAGATCCCTCATGTATCATGTCAACATTCTTATATATTGATTAGGTGTTTCAAAACCAAAACGAACACCTCGTCGGTTAACTACACGTATAATTCTGAAGATTTCATAGGATTCGTTATCTCAGCAGGTATCATACTAGTTTGGAACTTCGTAGCTAATATTGGATCTCCAAACTAATAAGCGAACTGATTTAAATTAGGAATATGATCCATCGGATACTTGCTTAGTGAATCAGAGGTTAAGAGCTTACCCTGGAGCCTGATAGTACTGTGTCCAACCCCTGACCTAATAGTGAATGCGCCTCACTGAGAAGTCCAGTTCAAGGACGAAGAAGCTGTCTAGTGCCTAATATTTTTCAAGGGTTTTCCAGTTGCAATCAATCCATAACGTAGACCACAAAATAGTCAGAGTCTATCAATCTCTACTAGCATTGACCAACCAATTAGATAAAAAGTCATGCGGTCACTATTGACTAGGTCATGAGATGGATGGTCGAAAATTCTGGTAAGCAGTGGTGATCAGTAAAGCTATCAGTAGTGATTGATAGTCGTTCCGTGACATAAATCGAGTATAGTAAATCATCTAAACTATTAGAATAATACTTTAATATCTGCACATGTCTTGATCTCGATCCGTACGAAAATAATAGGTTTATACTGTTTTTGAGCATAGAATCACTACACTACAACTGTCGAATGACGCTTGAGTTTTTCCGGTTCATATAGATTCACTATGAAGGTTAACTTCATAAACTTTTAAAAAAACCTAATCCGAATGATTTAAGAAGAATTGTTCATAATCTCTCAGACAGAAGCTTAACCAGTCATAAAATCACTCCACTGAAGAAAGAATTAAATTTCAATTTACATAAAAACCACTTAGTACTCTTGAAGTATCTCCAACTATAGAACCATTAATCGCACAACTACTGGAAAAAGAGTCGCAGACGGCTAGCCCTAGATCGCCCATCAACCGAAGCAAATATTCCCCTTGACATCCTGCTAGACACATTCAATTAACCGGCAGATCCACCACAAGAAAAACCCCAACAACAAGCTGAATGACGTTCCAGACGGTGGACTCTCCGACAGCGGCGAGCAACAGTCAAGATGCAGGTCGACCCTAGGAACGCACGCTATTAAAAAGGGGAGGAGTGTTGGGGACGTTAGATCCCCAAAACTCATATTTTGTAATTTTATCTTTGTGGGGCTTGTATGCAGATTTATGCTTGGGCATTTCTTAGCACGCACGCACATAGTCGATTGACGAAATTATCGATCAAATGTTTAAAAATTTCCATGGCAATATCGATTACATACATTTTGTATAAATACCCTTGATTTGTGTGCTTGAGGGACCTGGTATCTTCTGGTTGTCTGTAGAATACACTTTCTACATCTTACCAAGACTTCTGGATCGAGTAAGCTGAGTCGGGAACAACGAACCAGTATAGCCTATCGAGTATCTGAATCCTTAATTCTTCGTTCCGTTCCGAGTAAGACGAATCAGTAGTAGCATTCAAGTTTAACGAACATAACATTATGTCAAAAGACATCCCACATTTTGACTAAACAAAAACACATTACACCAAACATTTCAAAAGAAGAATTGAAGGCTCTACATTCGCCTCAAAAAAACAAAACGATTATCATCACAATAGCCGACAAAGGCAACACAATAGTAGTCATGAATAAAACAGACTATATTAATAAAGCTCTTGAACATCTCTCAACATTACCATATGAAAAGATCAATCCGAAAAATTCTCTGACGATTAAAACTAAAGTCAAATCAGAAAGAAGTCAACTTCTGAAAGATCTAAAAACAGTCATTGATGTCTCTCTTTAGTTTGCTCTGCATCCCAAGTCATGTAATGTTTCACGGTTTTATGGTTTACCGAAAATTCATAAACCAGATATCCCTCTAAGAACGGTATTAGACTTTACCAACACACCAACACATGCGTTATCGAAATATCTAAGCAACATATTAAAGCCACTACAGCTTAACTTATATAATATGATTAAAGATACATATGACTGAATAAAAATTATCGGAATTAATTATCGAGAAGAATGAGGTCATGGTAAGCTTTGATGTCGTATCATTATACACCAGTATTCATATTGATAAATGTTTAGAATTCATTAGTGGTTTACTAGAGAACGACAATACTCTATCTGACAGATGTCCTTTGAGCATCAGTCTAATCATGAGATCCTTAAAACTATGCTTAAATTCGACCCTATTCACTTTTAACGGGTTGTTATACAAACAAACCAACGGTGTAGCAGTGGGATCCCCCGTGTCCCCGGTTGTAGCCAACCTTTTTATGGCACATATAGAATCCAATATCTTCACCCACGACATTATTCCACGAATTTGGCTTAGATGTGTAGATGATACATTTGTTGTGATAAAAAAGACTCGTCTAAGATCTTTTTCAAAACGGATAAATACACTTTCATCTCACATCAAATTCACGAATGAGAATGAAAATGAACATGATGAGCTACCATTCTTGGATTGCTTAGTAAAAAGAAATCCAAATGGAATTCTAAACCTATCCATTTACCAAAAACCTTCACACTGAAATTGTTATGTTGACTTCCATTCAGCACATCCTTTTAGTGTTAAGATCTCGCTAGCATTAAATCTTTTTAGAAGAGCTAATAAGATCATCACATCAGAAGACGACAAAAAAAGACCAAAAGAATGTTACTAGTATCTTACAATTTAATAATTTTCCTATGAAGATTATTAGCAGTATATTAAAACAAGACGGTTCAGTGAGTAATAATAATAATAATAATAATTCGAATAAAATGTCATGGATTGGTACTGTAGTTTTACCATACCGTCATGGTACAACAGAAGAACTACAAAGAATCTTCAAACAACACAGACAAACAACGAACACACTTCGAAATACTTTAGTTCGCTTAAAAGAAAAAACCCCTTTCTTGTCTACACAGAACTACGTCTACAAATTAAGTTGTATCGATTGTGATGCCTTCTATATTGAAGAGTCATCTCGAGAAATCTTGACTGGAGCCAAAGAACATATTAGGTACACAAAGTAACCTCCTAACAATCCCGTAGAATTGGATAAACTTCAAATTAAGTTGGCAATAGCAGTTCATGCCATTTTCAACGACCACCAAATTGATTGTAAAAACATCAAAATATTGCAAAAAAGGCTTTTTTAATTACAAAGAAAGGAGAGTAGCTGAAGCGTTCTATATAATGCTTAATCCTACTTCGCTCAATAGAAAAGAAGGCCTTACCATAGATCCTACTTGGACTATCTATCCTAGCCACATAGTCGGATTTTACTTACAATTCACAATATCATCTTACAAATTAAACTCTATCCTTTCTCACCATAAATGTCACACAATTCTTCATCCTTAAACAGTACATATAATTTTCATTTAGTATTAATAAAATTTTCCCTTGTCCAATAAGTGAAACTATATGGAATTTAACATTCCAATATCATGAAATATTCAGGACGCGCGTTTCGTCTCATTTGTGACTCGTCAGCAGGACGTACCCACATGCCAGGGTTGATATTCACTACGGGACTCAAACCAACTATCTTTCGCTTCAAACGCCATCGCCTTATCCAATTAGCTACTGAGTCCAGATGGCCGCTAGTCCGTGCAATCTTTCCATTGACGTTTGGGATTACAATTGATCAGTCTCATAGTGAACATCAACTTTGGCATTCAAGTACATCCAGCTGATGAGTCTCATATAGGACGAAACGTACGTCATGGATTCCACTGCTAACCAGCATCCATCTTTGCTTATCATTCTTGTGAATTAAGGCAATATCGAGGTGATCCATACAGGGTGTACATATGCCAATAAGAAACTGATCGATCATATTATAATCATAAAGAAATTTCAAGATTATCTTTGATTTAATCTATATCCAAGTTGAAAAATCTCTATAACTCATCCCATTTAGATAAAGAATTATATGCTTACTAGTGATTAACACTGATCAAGATTTCCAACAGTTCTAATCGAAAATTGTAATCAGTTGGCTTCAATGATTTAAGAAACGATACAAGTATCACTAATAACAATGAATAATAATTGCTTAATATCAAGTTAATTGACTGACCGTTTTACTTTAAGTCATGTTAGTGCTATAGGTAGAAGGCTTTCTATGAGACTTGGAGGTAACATTATCTAAGTGTGTTATTGAGCATTTCCATAACAGGATGCGGTATATATTCAATACTTTTTCAATGTTTATAATGGTTATCTATTAAAACTCAGTCCGCGATGAAACCTATTTACAAATCAACGTCATATTAACATTGGTATTAGTGTGAGTAGTAGTAATAGTAGTAGTGTAGTGAACGACAATAACCGATTTATTTTTTAGCATTGAATTGCAGAATGTCTTGGTGAAATATGAGAGCCATACAATGAATATTTCATTTGCAAATTTCCGTCATCTGTCCTTCACATCCTGTATGATTCCCTTCTATTTCCTTCGACTAAACCCTTTTAGCCTTCTACTACCAGATTTTCCACCCCCGATTGTTAGCACATATTACTTATGTCAACAGATATAAGTACTATGCACCACAGTAGTAGTAATGATAATCATAACCCGAGTAATAGTATTGGATCAGTTATTATGAATGAAAATATCTGAATTCACTGTGATTAAGCTGTTTTACCTGCTAAATTAATGTTTACATAATTTATTTTCATCAATTACAGTTGGACATATACATCATCTGATCAATTAGGTATGTATTCATATTGGGGTTTAGTTAGTTCTTATGGAGGTGGAGGTTATTATGAAGATTTATCACGTGATCAAACTGAAGCAGCAAGTCAACTTGATAGATTATTTCAAAATTTATGGTTAGATAGAGGAACTCGAGTTCTATTTATACATTTTACAACGTATAATCCAAATATGAATTTATTTTCTGTTGTTGAGTAAGTTGACAATGATGATATAACAAAACAGTCTGTCATTTGTAATGTTTTATAAAAGAGTTATGATTGTTTGAGATCAAGTTCTTGTATGATACATCAATGTTAACGATCTATGTAGTTGATCATTCAATGTACACGAATGATCTATTTGAAAATGAGTTCTTCAGGTTTATTAGAGCAGTTGTGATCGGTATAATACGGTAAAATAGTATCTTATGAATGTTTTATTATTTATTTATTTATTTGAACACATAAATATTAGTACAAGACGGCACCAAATATATATATGCGCCACCCTTTTGTGTGTGGGCTGTGATACCGTCCGGGTGCCCAGGCCGAAGCAGGTGGTTATCTTAGGAGGGCCACTCCCCGAGCCTTTGACCTAAAGGTCTAACCCACAAGGAAGTGGAGCATCATAAGGAGATGCAGTCCCATGGAAGCCGGTAACCAACAATTGGTTCATACGCCATTTGTTCCCTCAGCATACTGGAGCCCATGTGCACATTGGTTTGGAATCCGGTTAAAGCGCCGTACATTCGCTTTTCGTCCTCTCATTTTCGTAGACAACACCTCCGCCACGAGGAGGCAGTGAGTAGGACTTCCCTGGCAGAGGCTGTATACGCGTGGCTGTGTGAGAGCATTTCGAGAGGGAGGGCGGGCCCACCTCACTCTCGGCCATACCAGGACATTTGTGGGCCTTATGAATGGTACTTGACTATTGTCGTTCTATACTGTAAAGTGATCAATGTTAGAAATATAAACCAGTGGATTCTGATCCAGTCAGTCAGTCAGTTGGTAAGTCATAATTAACATAGAGACTAGCAAAGATGTGCATTGGCTAAAACTATCAAAGTAATTAATGCGACTGAATGAAATTAATAAGTTAAGTAACAAAGAAATAGAAATAATATACTGATAATGATAAAAAGAAAAACTAAATCTTGGGAATATGGTTTAAAAAGACAATATAACGGTGTGTTGATGGGGTATTGGGATTCATTATCGAAATGATTATAAAGAGTGAATGAATCTGCTTCATTGTGAATGATTCTGAGCGATATCACTCAAAGTTTCCAACCAATGATTCTAGACATCGTTCGAACTTAGAACAGGCAGTTTGGATCTAACAACATGGCACAAATAAACAGTTACTAGCTTCATGGACTAATGCCATGTCTTGGTTTGAGGGACCCTACACTTTCTTCTACATCATTAAACATTTCTCATCAAGACAAGAGGTGGTTCGGAATAGGTAACATGTCCTGACCACCCCAAGTGATAAAGATTCACGACTTCATCAATCAATTTATTATCTTTGCCTACTACCCTCAAAATTCCCAGCATGGTCGTCTCGTGATAGACAAGCATTGTTTTAAAAACGTCTATGATCAAAAGTGTACAATTTATACATGTCTTCTACTTCCAAAGACTATGTTCCACAGATAGAGAATAGTATAGACCAAACTGTCGGATAGTACACTCACCTTCTGATCGGAGACGATCATCTCAGTCGGCAAAGGGTGCAAGATAATTTTAGGACTTGGATTTTATCCGTTGAAGGATTGTGAGAAGTATTCCATATAGCTCTCGTGTGCTTCTCTTCATCATACTTTTAAATGATACCCTATTGATTTCCCGCTATGATGAAAACAACTCTATACATCATTAAAATTCTCAAAATACTAACAAACTAATGATTCATAAGTGAAACATACATACATACATGTGCTTGCTATCCTATTTTGTTTTCTACTTTAGGATTGTTGTTGAAGTTCCTGCATCAGGAAGTCTCGTCCTCAATAGTGATTTTAGATCAGTTAAACTCTTGCGTTATGTAACTCCATTTGATTATTTTGTATTAGCATGTGAATGTGCATTCTTATTATTTATCGCTTATTATATAGTTGAAGAAATTATGGAAGTAAGTTACTAATCTTCAGTAATGTATGATTGTCTTTTGAGTTATTACAAATCATTGTATTGTGTTTTCTTTGACTGAGTAATGACAAAGCAAGATATGAATGATACAAATAATGAATATGATTTTCAGACTGCCAGTAAAGAACTGAACAATCATTCATCTAAGAGATGGTGGAGAAGATTTGTAGCTCAGGTGGATGATTTGGTGGATTTTTCAGTTTGTGTGCTACACCTATCCCGAAGGTTTTCAGCAGTCTCGTTGCGGTTTCTGATATTCCTTTTATGTATTGTAGGGTGATCCTTTTGTTGATTTCTAGTTAAAGATAACGTAAATGTATCTGCCTATCTAGTATAGCATCCAAGATCATTAGAATAATATTGGAGTGATACGGTAAAATGATATCTTTCCAGTCTGTCATTATTTTGTTGATAAGGTTGAATATAATTAATGTGGCTGTTTCATTCTTAATATGATTGAAATCCATCGTTTACGGCTACTCATTAAAACTTCGAGAACAAGTAGTGGTTTAAGTTTAACTTATTAATCTCTAATTCCACAGGTCTTGTATTCAGTCACTGGTGAGGTTGTAGTGTTGTGAACGAGAACACAAATATAGACAATCGAATGTATTTCAACACAAAATTACAGAACATCTTGCTAAACTCTGAGAAACATACAGTAAATACTCCATTTGTAAAATATAAATTAATTGTCTCAGATTTTATTGTTTCTTTGCTTCCACAGTAATCATTCTCTGTTCTTGTTCTCTTTTGTCTGATCTTCTTAATCTTCTACCGCCAGGTATTTCACTTTTGATTCATGATACGTAGTACTTATATCTGTCGGCATCAGTAGCACACACCACAGTAGCTGGTCATTACTAATTAGTCATAAGTATGGAGCAGTGTTCCTTGGTTTTCGATGTTCTGCTAGTTAAATTCTCTTCGTAATCTAAACTATTTTTTATAATGTTGATAGGGATTCGTAACATCCCGTTCTTTCCATTCATAACTACGTCTGCAATGCCATATACCTCTCCTGAAAAGATTGCTTTCGGTATTTTGGTATGCGACCACCAGAAGAATTCCAGAAATTCATTTGATCTTATTTGAGACTCGTCTAATGGATATTCTTACTACACCTTAGTACTACTGTTCTACATTTCGGTTCAACTCTGTAACTTTTGCTTAAAATCCTCAAATCAATTATCCATTGAACTAATGACAATCAATTCGAATCTTGGTGAGAAATATCAACACCAAGTACATTCAGATGATAAGTCCTAACTAAAGTTAAATGATCTTCATGTATCCCATTGCTAACCACATGTCAAATACACTGCCTAGATAACTTTTTTATTGTTATAACTGTATATTTAAGTTATTATATCATTTATTTAAACACATAAACAATTGTACAAGGGGGGCACCAAACAGACATGAGCCACATAATTCATTCAATTTTTGCGAGGGCTGTGATACTTCCCGAGTGACCAAACCGAAGCAGATGTTTTCATTAGGAGGCTACTCCCTAGCCTTTGATCTGAAGATCTACTCCTCAAGACCATGGAACGACGTAAAGAGATGCAGTCCCATGGTAACCAGTGACCAATAATTGTTTCATACGCCATTTATTCTCACGGGATCCTGAAGCCCATGTGCACCGTTGATTTAGAATCAGGGTTTTTCAACTCCCCTAGATGGATCCATTATATTCACTAACCCGGTGAAATCATCGGACATTCGCTATTCGTCCTCTCAGTTTCGTAAACAACAACCCCACCACAAGAATGCACTGATTAGAACTTCCCTGGCGATTACTATATGCACGTGACCATGTGAGAGCATTTCGCGCGCGCGAGAGAGAGGGAGCTGACTCTCCCTACATTCGACTGTACCAGGGCATTTGGGAGGTAATTACCAATACTACTTATAGTAAATACTTTACATAAACACATAATTTATTTTACTTGTTGAAATCACGAGTCAACTGAAGCTAGACCACCATGGGAAACCTGGAAGCACTGTGCAGCCGTTCCGTCCTAGTATGGGACTCCTCGGCAGTGCGTATCCATGACCCCGCGGGATTTGAACCCAGGACCTATCAGTCTCGCGCCAGGCGCTTAACCAACTAGACCACTGAGCCGGCATCCAATGGTGTTGATGTCTAACTTCAACCAATCCAAGGAGTTGCGCCACCGTACACCATTTTCTTCAATGAGTTACTACCTTACAACTGACCCGGTCGAACACCACTGGTAACGACTTCTCACTATAAATCCAGAAATATCTCCTGTTTTTCATCAAATATAACCTTTTTACTAATCTATTTATAATTCTTTTTTTCTTTCTTCATACCCTACAGATAAAGAAACAAGGATGGATTTATTTTGTATCTGTATGGAATTCATTAGATATTATTATTATTCTTATTAGTATTGTATGTGCAGCATTCAATATTTATCGTACAATAATTGTAATCAATTTACTTGAAAGTATATTACATAATCCAAATGAATTTGCTAATTTTCAAATGTTAAGTATATGGCAAGTGAATTTCAATTTTGCTATCTCTATTACTGTATTTCTAGCTTGGGTTAAAGTGAGTTCAATTAAATTCTCTTTCATATGGATAGTTTTCGTTGTTGTTGTTGTTGTTATTGAAAGAATTGCTAGATTAACGGTGAGACTATTTATTTATGGACGATCTTTGAATGATGCTAAAGTGATCTTGAGAGTGTCAACCTACTAACTAGGACAACATGAGGGTTGTATATCTCTTGATATTGCTATGAGAAGATGAAGTTTACCAGAATTATGTGATGATATATTTACGTAATACATTTCCAATCAATCTGATCACATATAATGTACTTGTTAAGAACATTTATATATGAAAATTAAAAGGTCAACTAGACAGGTTAAAAGTAAGCCATAACAAAAACAAAAGTGATTACCACTCTGGATAATAAATCAGTATTACCAAGGTAGGTTAAGTGTAAGGACAAATTGTTTTTGAACGCATAAAGGGGGTTTCAGTTTTCGTATAGCCAAGGCTTCAATAAAACTTTAGTATACGTTCTTGAAGGCTTTTGTATAACACTACAAATGCTGACTTGATGTCAACCTTATGACCCGTCTCAATCAAATGTTTCGCAATGGAGGATGATGTCTGTCTATCCTGTGATCTTATTTAACCATTGAAATTCATTTGTTTCTGCAGCCATTTTGGTAGATGTTCACCCACCTTTAATTGCAAATCACGATTGCTCCTCCCTATGTACGTGTTTCCGCACATACATGTAAATTGATAGACACAATCGCTTACGTGCTGTTTAGGCTTTTGGTGAAACATAGACCTTGTCTTTTCGATAATGACAAGTTGGGCTGCATAAAATGTCCTATTGATGGCTAATTTAAGTCTATCTGTCCATATTTGTTATTTTAGTTGTTTTCTATCAGAGCCAACATATAATAATAGGCACAATATTCACGGAACGATAAACAGTTAGTGAGTTTTATAAGGCCATATTAATTAAAAGCTTCCGAACCATTACTTCTACAATAAAATGTTCGAATCAGTAAACTCACTGGTACAAACGACAATCATCAGAATTTTATATAGAAGTACATAAGATTTTAGCCATACACTGCTTCTTGTTCTACAGATTCATACTACCACTCAATGAGAACAGCAACCATCAGAGAATCATTGAATTATATTGTCAATAACGTTACGAGACTAATCAGTTTAAGTTACTGTGACAGATTTCTAAGAAGTTTTTAGGAAATCCCCTATGGTTTTTCGTGCTACTGACTACTTGAGGTAGTTGTTTTAGTTACGAGACTTTAATTATCATTCTGGAAAAAATCATTAATGCTTACTTCATACAGAAGTGAGAGTTATCTTCATTTCACAACCGTTAACTAATTTCTACCTGACAGGTTTGTTTATGATTGCCTGTCTTCATAGATTCCGTTATAGACTGACTAAGAATACACCAAGATTATAGAAATTTTAAGAATAACAGAAGATTTTCGGTAGTACAGTATTCAATCAGTTCCTAATCAATGAACACATCGATATAAATTCGACCTAACAATTCACAGGAACACAAATCAAATATCCGAACGAGACCAGACACATAAACTACAAAGATAAACAATCTAAAGCAATGACATTTCAACTAATTGATTTAATGCTTGGAGAACAGCTACACAGTGCACTACTGCATGCAATAAGCTCTAATAATAACGATAATGAGAGCTCTATCATTATATCATCTGTTTTAGAGAAATCAGTAACACTGAAATCATCCACCTCTGTTATAAATCTTTTCCATCTCAATGTTGATATTATACAATTCAACAAGATTGGTTAGCCATCACATAGAAATCTTGAATAAAAATATTTTATCTTTATATACATCATAAAGTGAAAGTGGAGAATTCACAACATTCATCTAGAATATCCCATCGAATAGGAATTTTATAGTTTATATCGTTGACTGACCATAGTAAAAAAAAAGACATTTGGAAATCAAGAAGCATTGACCAACTGTTTCGTCCTGATACGAATGCCATGTTGGTAGTCTAGAAGTTAAGCGTTCACTGTTAGATGAGAGAGAATAAATCCGTTCTTTGACGAGGTTATAGATGCTCATATCCAACGGGTCTTATATCAATACAAAATGGCTGTTCAATGCTTCGTGTTTTTCAATGATCGTTGAACCATGAAAGTTAGAAATCTCCATAAAAGTCTTTCTGATAGATGGAAAAATTGTCTGATGCTTTTGCAATTTTTCCTTGTTTTCAATCATATGCATATTTAGATCGTCATCATTATGTGTTCTCCTCTTTACCCTATTTTATTATTATTATTATTTTTCTATTTTTCATAGTTGTTTAAATACATCAGTTTCAATAAAACAATGACACAATTAAGTTCAACACTTGGTAGTTGTGCAAAAGATTTAGCTGGTTTCGCTATCATGTTCTTTATTGTATTCTTTTCATTCGCACAACTTGGTTATTTAGCATTCGGTACACAAGCAAAAGATTTCAGTTCATTTATTACAGTTGTGTAAGTTTATGACTGAAGTACAAATTCATTCATCTTTAATCTTGTCATTTTTCAGTATGGAATTATCGAAGTTGTTGGATTTTATTGAAAACATGAACTGATTAAAGGCAGATCATTATTGGAAACCAGAAACTACTAGTCGGTCGTTTCATCCTAGTATGGGATGTCTGCACGCGAAAATCCAACTCGAGACCTTTGGTCACGCGTACGAACACCTAAACTCTGAATGGCTGAACCAGCATTTAACGCTGTTGATTTAATGAACCGATTGGGCTTAGAGATTAACACAACTGGACGCCGGCTCAGTGGTCCAGAGTTTAAGTGTTTGAGCGCAAGAATGAAGACTTTGTGTTTAGTTCCTACGTGCGGGGTCATCAATGCACATTCCTGAGTAGTTTCATGCTAGAAGGGAACGGACGTCCAGGGCTTTCAAGTTTTTAATGGTGTTCTAACTTTTCATTTCTCTCTTCACCCATTTTAGATATGAATACAAACGTTTCCATATACCTATTCAACTAACAGCGAGAATGAGATGAAAAGATGTCTAGGAAGAGTGAAATGGCGAACCCTCCTGCCAAACCATATTGAGACCAATTGGGACCTTATCTAGGTGTATGGCATTTATTTTGTTAAGATCCTGGAGCCCATCTGTACCATTCGTTAGGAATCAGGGTTTTCCGACTCCCCTAGGTGGATCCTCAATATCCACCAACCTGGTTAAAACCCGGACATTCGCATTTCATTCTCTCAATTTCTTAAACAACAACCGTGGCGAGTAGGACTTCCGTGGCGGTGGTTGTATACGCGTGGCCATGTGAGAGCATTTTGAGAGGGAGAGATGACTCTACCCACCCTTGTCCGTACCAGGGCAATTGATGATTTCAATCAAAAAGTGTTAACGAAAACTAGAAAGCATCTAATAGTAACCTTATCTTTGTTATTGACTTGGTATAAAATGGCCTGAAACTATGACGTCTAGATATTGTATAAAGCGCGATACATTTATACTAAGAAGTCAAGATTCAATAGTCTAAAGTTTTAAATATAATACATTCTTCATTGCATATATTTGGTTAGGTATTGTCTCACCGCTAATTTGGTTGACTACGTACTAACGTTTGCTAATTTCTTTAAATAATGTTTAATTAGTATAAGCTTAAGACTAAAATTGTCATGAAAAGAATCTATAAACATACTTTTCAGATCATCAAGAGAATAATGGAAGTTTCTCAATATATTCAATCATAGTTTTCTTAGGTGAACAAAATTCAATAAACAGTGATAGATAGCTTCAATCTTACTAGGAGTTCAGTACAAAAATTTTACAGATCTTACTTTTAAGACCAAAGATGGATAATGGCTAGCAGTGGGATCCAGGATTCGCGTCTCATCCTATTTGGGACTCGTCAGCTGGATGAACTTGCATGCCAGAGTTGATGTTCACTTCGAAACTCGAACCTCGTACCGTCCGCTTCAAACGCCATCATGTTATCCACTTAGCTACTGAGTGTTTTGAAGCGAACGGTAATAGATGCGAGTCCCAGGGTGAACATCGACTCTGAGATGCAGGTACATTCAGTTGACAGATCCCAAATAGGGCGAAACGCGAGTCCTGGATTCCACTGCTAGCTACTATCCACCTTTGCTTATAATACTTTGGAATTAAGGCAACATCGAGGAAGCCTGTAGAGGATGCTTATATACCAACAAGAGACTGGTCAATTGCAGTCCTAAATAACAATGGGAAGATACAAGTAAACAACATCAAGTGAACTTACTCTTAAGATGTCTGAAACCGATATACTGATCTTCTGTGAAACCACACAATAAAGTTAGTATGTTTTGTAAACAAAATCAAAAATGAATTGGTTCTGGACTAGAATGTGGCTAATAGATTAAGTACTCTGTCAGCGTACTTGATGTGATCCTGGACATAGCCGAGTGTTTTTGTGTGATTTTTCCAAGTCTCCGATATATAATATTCGAATATAATTCGTGAATTATTCCAGGAAACGTGAAATCCCTAGAGATCTCAACTCGAAAACCTACCTGCGTATGTCTTCACTATTATCAATGAAAAGTACTCTTCCACTCTAACCTCTACTCTTAATACTATCTCTAAAACCCAACCCTACTCTCATTACTGATCTCTAATCATAACTTGTTTCCCGTTTACAATAATAAACAACTCATTTTGTTCACATTCATTATTTATGTTAGACCTATTTATCCATTGTATTTTTAATACCATTTATTGTTTATTGTTTTATAACTAAACCCTACTTTCTAATTGGATGACGAGCCATTCAAGGTCATCGCAATAGTACATTCCCAGAATATATCCAAATGAGTTCAGTGTTACCCGAGCAATCAATCTATCTATCTAAGCAACAATACTTTTATCTGTTTTCTATTGTTTAACTTTTAAATATTGAATCAACTTAGTTTTAATTCATTAGTATCAGAAGGGGTTTTGTGGAGATTGTAGTAATTTCAATAGTTGAGATCATAAGTCAGTTGAAGGTAGACCACCATGGGAAACCTGGGAGCACTGGACGGCCGTCTCGTCCTAGTACGGGACCCCTCAGCAGTGCGTATCCACGACCCCGCACCCCGCGGGATTCGAACCCAGGACCTATCAGTCTCGCGCCAGGCGCTTAACCAACTAGACCACTGGGCCGGCATCCACTTCAACAAACCCACGAAATTGACCGACACATCCACTACTGTCACCAATGAGTTACTATCTCACAACTGACCCGGTTGAATACCACTGGTCACTGCTTCTCGCTAGAACTCCGGGATATATCTCTTGAAGCCAGTCACCAGTGAGCATATGTCGATTAGTATCAGAATGGGTTTCGTAGATGGTCGTGGATGCACACTGCTGAGGAGTCCCACAATAGAACGAAATAGCCGTCCAGTACTTCCAGGTTTTCCATAGTGGTCTAGCTTTTGTTGACTCATGATCTCAACTGTTTTAATTCATTCTTTCATGTTTTTTTATCCTTTTTATTTGTTTGTTTGTTTGTTGTTTTCTTCTCTTTTTTTTCTTTTTTTTGTTTTTTAGTTATACCCTATTTCGTATTATATTGGGTGATTTTGATTTTAATGCATTGGAAACAGCAAATCGAGTGTTTGGTCCAATTTATTTTATTGTTTATGTATTCTTTGTATTTTTTGTACTTATTAATATGTTTATTGCAATTATCAATGAAACTTATTCATCAGTTAAATCAGATTTAGAAAAACAACCAAATGAATTTGAAATGAAAGATTTTCTTAAAGATGTAAGTAAATATTGTTCTACAATTTAAGATGAAATATGATGCATTGAATTTATGAGTTAATTGAAGTTAGACCACCGTAGAATACCTGGAAATACTGGACGGTTGTTTCATCCTAGCAATACACATCCACGATCCCGCCCTACAACATTTGAGCCCAGGACCTATCAATCTTGCGCGCGAACGTTTAACATAAAACTCTTATTTGATTGTAATTATCATGTTCTTACTAGTGAGTCCCTCCAAGAGTTGTTTCCTCGAGTTCTGGTGAGAAGCTATGATCAGTGGAGTTCAACCGAGTCTGTTGTGAGATAGTAACTTACTAATGACAATGGTGGATGGTGGCGTAATTTTATGGATTGGTTGAAGTTAGACATTAACACCGTTGAATGCCAGCTCGATGGTTTATAGGTTAAGCGTTCGCGCGCGAGACCGAAGGTCTTGGGTTCGAATCTTGTTAGGCGGGATCATGGATGCTCACTACTGAGGAGTCCCATACTAGGATAAAACGGCCGTCCATTGCTTCCAGGTTTTCCATGGTGGTCTAGCCTCAATGGACTCGTGATCTAAACACTTATAATCAACTATCTAATGGGATTATGTAAATCATGTAATATTACGAATCAATATCTCTAGTAGGAACAAATTTTAAATCTAACAATAAACATTTTGTTAGTCATATTAATCATGGTTCAACTTATAATCTCCTTCACTAGTTTGATGGTATCATTCATTATATGAAATATTAGTAAAGATTAAAGGTTTAAGATTCAATCACGTACACACTGTTCAATAATCTTAAAACTAAGTTAGACATTAACACTGTTGGATATTGGTCGGTTCAGTGGTCTAGGGGTTAGTGTTCACCCGCGAAATCGAAGGTCTTGGGTTTGAATGCAATTGGTTCAGGATCGTGGATGCGCATTGCCACTGAGAAGTCCGATATCATGATGAAACGGCTGTCCAATACTTCTAGGTTTTCAATGATGGTCTAAAATGGATTCATTCTTTATTTTAATCTGAACTTAATAATCTCAACAATCTTATGCTGCTAAAAACTAATCACATATTCTATACTCTTTGATTCTTATTAAATCTACAACTGACTAAAAATTTAAATCTTGATAATGTTTACTGTCATTAGGGTTCAATACACATCAATTGTTTTATATTTTATTTATTTATTTAAACACATAAACATTCGTACAACGAGGCGCCAAATACATATGCATATATACGTACATAAATCATTCAATTTATGTGAAGACTGGGATACTACCCTGGTGTCCAAACTGAAGCAGATAGTTTTCTTAAGGGGCCGCTTTCTGAGCCTTTAATATAATGGCTCAACTCACAAGGCAGTGGCGCAACGTAAGGAGATGCACTCTCACGGTTGCCGTTTGTGCCAACAGGACCCTGAAGCCCATATGCACCATTGGTTTGGATTCAGGATTTTCCAACTTCCCTAACTGGACAAACCATATCCACCAGACATTCGCTATTCGTCTTCTCAATTTCGTAAACAACAGTAATACCACAAGAAGGCAGTGAGTAGGACTACCCTGACAGTGGTTGTATGCACGTGACCATGTGAGAGCATTTCGAGTGTGAGAGAGAAAAAGCTGACTCTCCCCACTATCGGCCGTATCAGGGCATTTGGAGACTGTTTTATATAATCAAGTATAAATTACAACTGTCGTTTGTTACTAAGCTGTATCGATTATCCATATATCAAATTTTCAAATTGTCATCCATCACATTTGTTCCCTTCTTTTTTCTTTTTCATCGAATGAAAAACAAACAAAAAAACGTTATAACACATAGAGAATGAGAAGTATGCTAGAAAAATTAAAAATTAAAAAGAAACGAATTGAAAATATACAAAATGCAATGGAATTGGCTGATTTTAATAAAGATGGTAAATTAGAATATACTGAATTGTGGAAACATTTGAAAACGTAAGTTACATTTATTTGAAAAAAACACATTAGATATTATTATCTTTATAGGTGTATCTGATAGTAATCATCTGGTCACTAGTGACTGACTTCAATAAGTATTTTCTGGAGTTCTGTTCTAGTGAGAAGTAGTGACCAGTGAAGTTCAACCGGGTCTGTTGTGAGGCAGTACGGTGGTGCATTTTCGTGGATTAGTTGAAGTTAGACATTAACACCACTGGATACCGGCTCAGTGATCTAATGATTAAGCCCTCGCGCGCGAGACTGATAAGTCCTGGGTTCGAATCTCACAGACAGTAGGATCGTGGATGTACACTGCTGTTGAGGAGTTCCGTACTAGGACGAAACGGCCATCCAGTGCTTCCAGGTTTTCCATGATGGCCAAGCTTCAATTGACTCAGTTTCAACTATTATAATTTATTAGTTGAGATCATGATTTAAGTGAAGCTAGATCATCATGAAAAACCTGGAAGCACTGGATGGCCATTTCGTCTTATTGTGGGACTCTTCAGTGGCAGTGAGCATTCACTATCTCACCCCGCGGGATTCGAACCTAGGACTGTCTTTCAATTCGATTTTATCAGGTTTTATATCAATACGAGCAATATTATGTATATTCTTATATGGCAAAAGCATTAACCAGATCAAGGTACTTTATAAGTTAATGATAACCATTTAAAAGGGACCAATTGTTATTAAGGGGACAAATAATGAATACCATGATAAAATGAATGAATATACGGATATAGAATATGTTGGACGGATCTAGAAAACTCTGAAAACATTTAAAAGCATCTTATCCAATCAGCATTCACTAGATGTTTTGCTAGAAACATCTAAGAAGCGAAAAGTCAAATGCCGAGTTTCTGATTAAATAATTACTTATAATACAACTATGTTTAGTAGTGCTTCAGGATTTTCTGGAAACTCAATGCCATCTAAAATACTATAGAAGCTCTAGATTTTTCTGTACATATACGAACCTTTGAAGTGAAGTGTTTCTTCCATGTTTAACAACTTTTCTCTGAAGTCGCTGTGCAGATTTAGTCTGGTAGTTAGTAGAAAAGCTTAGGAACCGAATCTAGCGTTCAATTAGAAAACTTATCAGAGTATAGGTCAATGCATAAAAAAATCAAAAAAAAGTATTGAGATCAATAATCAGTATAGGGGTTTTTGTGGAGATTTTTATGTTTTCGAAGTTAACATCACAGACTGACCTAAACACTATTGAAAATCATGAAAAACTGAGTGGTCATTTGTTGCTTGCGAATACTTAATTTCTAGAACTATTCATCACGTTCTACCTGATCTTTTGCATATTGTAGAATCTATGAAGTTTTAAGGTAACGATCATTCATTCATTTGATGACTGGCCGCTAAATGCTGTAATTTTCACTCAAGATTTCATTTCAAGTATCTGGAGTTGTTAACAACCGTCTAATGTGAATCTGTCTATGTAATAGAACATAATATCATATATGCAAAATACATATACACTAATCATTAGGTCTTCTTAAAATGTTGAATTCACGAGTCGATTAAAACTAGACAATCTCGAGAAACCTGGAAGCACTGGATGGCTTCAAGGTATTTCATGGAGTTTCAGTAAGAAGCTGTGACCAGTAGAGTTCAACCAGGTCTAATGTAAGGCAGTAACTCACTGAAGACAATAGTGGACGATAGTTCATTTTCGTAGATTGGTTGAAGTTAGACATTAACAGCGTTGGATGCCAGCTCAGTGGTCTAAAAGTTAATCGTTTGAGCACGACATCGAAGGTCCTGAGTTCCAAGCCCGCGAGCAGAGTCGTGGGTGCGCGTTACTGAAGAGTCACAGGCTAGGACGAGACGGCCGTCCAGTGCCTCCAGGTTGTCAACGGTGGTCTAGCTTAAATCGACTCATCAATTCAACTATTGTAATTACTACATTCTTCACAAAACCCCTTTGTCTTTCTTGTTTATAATTTATTAGCAAAGGTTTTACTGATGAAGAAATAAAAATGGTATTTGAAAATTTCGATGAAAATAAAGATAACATTTTATCACATACGGAACAGTTGAAATTAAAAGCTTCACTAGAAGAACAAAAGGTTTGTACAGTAAACGTTTTATAATAATAATAATAGTCAAGTATCTTGTTTTGGCTTTCAAAAGTCCTTTAATTTGGTTGATTCAAGATGGATATATATGAAGTAACTGTTATGACCCATGGCCCCCCAAACATTATGTGATAAATTCTCAATCAGAATACCGACTTCTGTTATCTTGTCTCTCTGTTAAACTAATGATGCGTCAACCAGCACAAACAGTCTTGAGTCAACTCTGAGTCTTTATTGGTCTTTTGAGATAATAGCTGCCCGCGCAACGCAGCCGATCCAGTTCAGAACACAAATATAAGCCTTTATTGCATGAATCGTATTTTTCAGACATAAACGATTTATATATAAACAGACCAGACCACATCACACCATAAAATGCAAAAGAATTATTATACAGGATCAAGCCTAAAGTGATTATGAGTACAGGAGACTGTAACCAAACGATTGAGAATAAATTTAGAATGGTTAATCGTATTGCAGTAGTCAATAGGCCAAATGAAAGCTTATGATAAAAGTACTATGGGTATATATATGTATAATCTAGTTATTTAATAATTATCTAATAAGAATAAATGTAATAATAGTTGGTAACTAATCTCTAGCAGTTACCATTCATTTATTCCTCGTTCCAATATAACAATACCACCTACAATTGAATACGTCTGATACACACAATTCCCTTTATTATCTTAAAAAGAGCAAGAATGACGATTGGTCCAAAACAATGTGAATTCATTATATAAGAAAAAGAGAATTCAGCGAAGAAAATTTTCTTTTCGACAATGTTCTAGAACATTGAAATATTGATTAGAATTCATAGAGTTAACAGACATTATGTGATTATGTAATGAATCAACTGAAAACAGATTAATGGTAGTAAAGAAAGATATGGATTGAAATCAGTCAATTATGATTCGAAGAAAAATGACAATGATGTAATCAAAATTCAGAAAAAGTTGAAAGGAGAGACTAGATCCGATTCAAAGAACATATTCCATATTAAAAGCAATCAGAAGTGCCATTTCGAGGAATCTTCTTGACATCAAGTTGATACACTGAAGTCATTCATGGTGATTAATACATAATCAAACTCCAATCTTAAAAAATTTGTCAGAGCGATAGCGATCAAACTTTTTAAAACCAGGTCTATGTCCAAAAAGAAGCAGTAATAAATCTTTCTTTGCCCTGATAACATTACAACCTTTTATTGCATACTTCATTATTTCAACTCTTTCTGAAGATTGATTACATCGTTATTATTAACGGAATACGTGGACAGAATATGTAAAAAGTAACTAGGACTATAGTTCTGTTATGACTTTATGTCCGGCTTTTTATCACGTGATTTATCCACCAATCAAAATACGACTTATACAATCTTAGCAGTGTCCAAAACCAAAGACGTTCGACCGGTGTTGGTCCTGAGTCCGCCTAGCCCCTCCACTTGAGTCCAGAACACCAATACCAGCTTCTACTGTGCGGATCAAGTCGAATCATTTATTTCAGACATGCTGTGTTTATATATCAATCAAACAGACCGCAACGGACCACAAAATAGGAAATAACATTTGTACACAATAAAGCCAAAAAGTGGCTGTGAACGTGGGAGACAGTAGTTAATAAACTGAGCATGATTTAGGGACAGTAAATCGTACAATAATAAATTATAGGTCAAAATGAAGCTTATAACAAGGGGAATATAGATATACATAATTTAGTTACCGAATATTTATACCATGAGAATATATAAATAATAATAGTCCATTGATAAGTCTCAGACGTTACTCGTAATGTAATCTTCACCAGGATATAACAATCTCATTAACATCAATATCATTCGATCACTATGACGTCAGACTATGGACACAGAAAGATATCATAGTTTACTTAAATTATTGGTCGACGATCTAAACCATTAAAATCAACCTGTTTTTTCTACTCTCTCTCTCTCTCTCTCACTTTTCATTCTATTTTATATGTTTGTTCTTTTCTATCCCACACCATGGGTACAGATCGCTTTAGTCAGTGAATTAGCTAAAGAAGAACGCTTAAATTTAGACGCGAAACAACCTGGAACAAGTCAATCAAAAATGGCACCGACTACACAAATTAAAATTGATATAAAGCAAGCTGAATTTATGCAATTATATAAACGTGTTAATCGTATTGAAAATGGTATGGGTCAAGTTATTGGACATATTGAAGATGTGTTAAAATCTTTAGCAACATTGGAAAAGATCAAAGTTATACGCCGTGAAACAATGACACAATTTTTACAAACTATTATTTCAGTAAGAAAGGGTTTTGTGGATATGATAGTAATTTTAATAATTGAGATCATGAGTCAATTGAAGCTAGACCACCATGGAAAACCTGGATGCAGTGGATGGTCGTTTCGTCCTACTGTGGGCCGTCCAGGGCATCCAAGTTTTCCATGTTAGTCTAGCTTCAATTGACTCATGAATTCAACTAATAAAATAGTAATATTATTATTATTATAACACTATATACCAAGTTTACCCGTCTAATTTTTACAGGCATACTTATTTGTTTAAATGGTGAAAGTACACACTTCACTAATGATAACTGAAAGTGTGGTGAGCTTTTAACTAGTTAGGATACAAGTAACTTAAATATAAAATGTACTGTATACAAACTGGAAGTTTGGTGTTAAGATTTGAGATTTTGAGTCTGAGTTAAATGTTAGGTTTTAGAGTTCGAGTTAAGTTTATAGGTTAAGCTTACATAAACAAGAATTGTAACCATATAGATAAATACCGATGGTGTTAGGTCTTTGATTTTAAACATCAAGAGTACTTAATGTTGTGACTCTAAGTCCGGCTAGTTATGACGTAATTTTATTCACCAATCGAAATACGACTTATTCACTCTTGTACTGTACTAAACCAACGACTTTCCACCGGTCTGATCAGCCTAGCGTCCTTTACTCGCCTAGCCTGTCCAGTTGAGTCTAGAATGCCAATAGAAATTTCCGCTATGCGAATCATTTATTTCAAATATATTTGGTTTATATACCAACCAAACAGACCGTATCGCATCATAAAAATAGGACATAACATTTATACAAGATCGAGTCAAAATGTGGCTGTGAACGTGGGAGACAGTAATCAATAAACTGAACATAACTTAAGAACAGTATATCGTACAATAGTAATCTATAGGTCTAAATAAAGCTTATAATAAGATGAATATAGATATGCACAACCTAATCACTGAATAGTTATACAATAAGAATATATAGATAATATTAGCTCATTCATAGTTCTCTGAAGTTACTTGTAATTTTTATCTGCACTAAGATATCACACTTAAGTTGTCTTCAGAGATTCATAAATAGTGGTCACTATTTTTTAAACTTTTCATAGTTATCATCCCTAAACGTTTAGTCTACTCAGCAACTACACAAAGCAACAGATTAGGCTTGTCGGTTATAAACATAACGAAACACATGTGACAAGTCGAATTATGTTTTCAGTACTTATCACCTTCAAACAGTTTGATCTAGATGACCTGTTTTTACTCAAATGAGAATCGATAAAATTTGTAATAGACAGCTAATGCAACGTCATAATGTACCTGTATTTCTGAAACTACAAATGATCATGTGAGGTATAGTGATGGTAAGGTGTGTAAAATAACATGAAAAGTGAAGATCCTAATCCTAACGATTATTCAAACTAATAAAAACAGATATGAGACAAGTTTGTTACTGTAAGTGGAAAGTATTTTAGAAGTAAGATTTACTCTAGATTTTGTAAACTAAAATTATCATCCCTATTTATTTTAACAAACAACATAGTACTTCCCGTGATCAATCAAAAAAATATGAGCAAGAATGAATAGAATTAGTTCCTTTTATTCAGTAATGCTCTTCAATAAATGAACAGACTACAATTGAAATGATTATGTTAAAATAACTTCCAGTTCGACTGAAGTCTGTTTGATCTGTGATACTGTCTTAGAATTCTATCATTACGAAGGATTTCTTTCAACTTGAATCATCATTCTGATAAATTATTTCTGTTTTTGTCATGTTTTGAACGTACTAAACAATCGAGACCTATAGTTTTTTTTCTAAATAACGAATGATTGGTATTCTTATAATATGAACATTAACCAATGTGATCTCATTAGATCGAGATATGGACACAGATCACTTTAACGATAATCCTCAGGACTATGGACACTGAGACGAGTCAAGATTTTAGTAAAAAACTTTACATACAAATAATTTCACAAAGTCAAAACTTAAATAGAACAACCCTGTATATATAGTAATAAGTAACAACCTTCGGACACAATAGAATTAGAAAACTAAAATTAATGACGACCAACCAGATAACACCAATGGTCCTTGAAGAAATGTTATCGAGCTTTTACATCCAAGGACTTGTCTATGTTATTACCACTTGAAACAAACCACCTTATAGTATACTAATTTACTTTATGAACTCATTTTAAGTACAGTAGAAAGAGCTTATTCATCACATCACAAGTGTAATTTATTGATTAATATACTCAAATGTTATTTTGTATCTGAGACTACTACTGGTATATAATAACTTGTCTTCAATCTAGTATATAGAGCTCTTGTATTCTTTTGTGTTACTTACAGATAGGAGTCATTGGATGAAGGGGAACAAAATGATTTTATCAAGATAGATAAAACTATGAGAAACTTATTCGATTTACAAAAGTAGATTAAACTATGAATTGACATTGTTAGGCCACCGATGAAAACATTGAGGCACTAGACATCTGTTTTGTCGGAGTATAGAACTTTTTAGCGATGAGCATTCATCAACCCATCTGAGACCGAACCCATGAAATTCAGTATCACTCACGAACTCTTGATCTCTAGACCACTTAGTTTGCATCCATTAGTGTATATATTTGACTTCAACCAATTTGCAATACTACTTGGACATCTTCTTTTGCTTCACATACATAACTTTCTCCCACCCGACATAGTTGAACTTAATTAGTCACTACTTCTCACTAGAACCCCAGGAATTGCATTTTGAATTTATTCACTACTAAGCAAATAGTTATTATTAGTATGGAGTATGTACACCACTATAAGCGGCTCAGAGGTCAAGAGGTATCGCGTTCACACACCGTTTTGTCGATCCTGGATTCGATCCCTTGTGAGCTTGTGAATGAATACTGCTGAGCAGTTCCGTACTAAGAATCAGCTCTCCAGTGTTTCTTGGTTCCTAACAACGGTTACACTAAGATTAGATCATAAGTTAAACTATAAAATTCGATGACCTCCTTAAACCTCTTCATGTAATGAAACAGCGATGTAAAGTGTTTTCAAGTGTCAAAAATTTACATAATAGACCAAAGCTTAAATATGTTATGGGTGAAAGAAAATTGCTAACTTGAAGAATTTTAAGAAATTGTAAGCATAGAATAGTACTGTCATAAATGTTTTGAAAAGATCGAAGTAAAGAGTCAGTTATGCGGTGATCGAACGGTTAATAAAAATTTATAAGACAGTTACTATCTTTTGTTATCTGAATGAAGATATTATTATTAATATCAATTTTAGACTAGTCCACAAGACAGAGGTGATCGATTGGATGATATTATTCAAGCTGGTTTAGACAACATGACTAGTACGGTTGATCTACAACATGAGTGATATCTCATAGTTATTTAATTGGTAAGTTGGTATGTTGAATAAAAACTTTTATAAACCTTTCTTAAATATTATTCAGTAAAGCAGCGATAAATTTACCCAGGAGTTCAGATGGAACAATTGATTTATTCGTAAGATTTCTCAATCAAAATATGCGATGCCGTGTCACGATAGAGGGTGGGAAGCGTCAGTTCTCTCTCGCTCTCGAAATGCTTCTAAATGGCCACGCGTATACAGTCACCGTCATGGAAGTTCTACTCACTGCCTTCTTGCACCACGGGTGTTGTTTACGAAATTCAGAGAATAAAATGCGAATGTCCGGAGCTTTAGCCAGGTTGGTGGATATAGAGGATCCATCTAGGGGAGTTGGAAAACCCTCATTCCAAACTAGTGTTGCGCATGGGCTCCAGGATCTTAAGAAAATAAATGGCATATGGACCAATTATTGGTCATCGACTACCATGGGACGGCATCTCTTGACGTTGCTTCACTGCCTTGTGGATTAGACCTTTAGATCAAAGGCTTCGGGTGTCGCCTCCTCAGAAAACCACCTGCCTCAAATAGCTCTTTGTAATAAAATCTCATACTGTAAAGATGCATGGTGAATGTCCGGAATCTGTTGTCTTTTTCAGAACTATAGATACGCGTTACTGATAAGAACTGAGTAAAACAATATTTCGATCCAAGTTTTTCTCTTGATTGTTTTCAGCTAGTGAACGTTAGAATCGACACACATATATTCTATCAACCCGGTAATTAAAAAACAATTATCCGTATTCAAATAACATTTTTAATCGTCAAACAAATGTTCAGCCCTATATGAATACATATAAGTCTTGTACAAACCACCATTTTGGTAAAACAATACTATACCGTCAACCTACAGCGAGCCAATCAGAATAAATCCGGCCTTTCTAGGTTTCAGAGTGATTTTTCAAACGTAGTCCCGGATAACTTCCTTCTACAAGTAATGTTAACCGGATTTCGCATCATAGCCAATTTAGATGAACCAATAGTCCAGCACTAGTAGAATGTCTGTCTTCTAAAAGATAGTATCTTTATCATTGTGACTGGAAAATGAGATTAATAAAGACTAGTGACTCGAGAAATGATATTATTGAATTGGTTGCAGTTAGACATTAACACCGTTGAATGCCGGCCCAGTAGTCTAGTTGGTTAAGCGCTTGGCACGAAACTGATGGGTCCTGGGTTCGGATCTCGCGATGCGCGGGATCATGAATGCGCACTGTTGAGAAGTTCCATACTAGGACGAAACGGCCGTCCAGTGCTTCCAGGTTTTCCGTGGTGGTCTAGCTTCAATTAACTCATGATTTCAACCAGTGAGATATTATTTTACTCTACAGAAGATGCTAGTCAAATAAATCTATAATGCATAGTAAATTCTTTCCCAAAATTAATGCTGTCAATTACGCTTCCAGTTGATTACTAATCCAGTAATATATATATAACTGACAAGTTCCAACTAAGACAATATGATCACTATAGTGATTATCTAATTCTATACTAATAATTACTGACTTTCTAAATTATTTTCTATTATTTTCTTTTAAATTTCATTTCAAGGTAAATGAATTATCTATTTTACATCTTCGTTGGTAATCAAATTGAATTATGATCATTTTAGAAGGAAGTTTTAGTGATAGTTGTATACTTACATTACACTCGAATAGTTCTATTACATCATTTGATAGATTACTTTATTATATTACTGAATACAAAACAAAAAAAAGTAAACTATAGATGTTACTAATGTGATACACTTTAAACCTTCTTTCTTTTCACTCACATTTACGTAACATGAAATCGATTATTTATTTTTAAAGTTTCTAAAAGACACTTTGTCTTAAACATCATTTACATGGCTCATTTTATTAGTTACATATTCAGCAATCAATAAATGTTCAATGTTTAGTAACATAGGTGAGTGTTGTATATTAAAGTGTAATTCCCTTTTCTTTTCTTTTTTTTTTGTTGTTGACGAAGATTTCATTTTAATCATTCGAGCTACATTTCGATTTGGTCTTAGTATACACTTCATAATGCTTGCTCAATTAGTTTTATGGAGTTAGGGGGCATAGAGAGAGAAAGAGAGAGAAAGAGAAATATTTAACCATGCTAACCAGAAACAGTAAACTTATTGAGCATTTATTGAGCCCTTGTGTTGTTGTTCTGTTTTCGTTTGTTTGTTTTTTACAACATTCAGTTATATTACCTTCAACATATTGACACACACGTACGCACACACATGCATAGCAACCAGAAATAAACAAATAATCGATTTAATATTTTATTGTACTGTTTAAAAAAACAAGAGAAAAAAAACGAGACATTTTTATTTTTACAGAGTATGTTTTTTGTGTTTTTTTTAATAATAAAGATATTTGTTTATGGTTACATAACAGGAAATGATAATCATTCATTATGTAATTTGTGTGTGTAAAATTATTTGCTCCATATTTTTATTAAAAGAAATAAAATATTATCAGAAGAGGGTTTGTAGTGGAGATTTAACTAAGTTAATGGTTGAATTCATTGGTCAATTAAAACTAAGCTACCATGGAAAACATGAAAGCACTGGACAGTTGTTTTGTCCCAGTATGGGTCTCCTCAGTGGCTATGGGTATCCACGATCCCGCCTCGCGAGATTCGAACCCAGGACCCATCCGTTAGATGTCGACTCAACGGTCTACTGATTACGCGTTTGCGCGCGAAACCGATTGGTCCTAGGGTTGAGTCCAGTGTGTAGGATCGTGAATTTACACTGCTGAGGAGTCCCATAATAGGACAAAACGGCCGTCCAATGATTCCACGTTTTCCATGATAATCTAGCTTTAATTGACTCATGAATTCAACGATTAAATAAATAAAATATTGTTTGTTCGGAAATACTGAATATTTAAAAGATTTTTTTATATATAAATAAGTTTTTTCAAATATCTTAAAATAATTAGGTAATTAATTGTTATAGTTTTATGTCTCCTATTTGAACACTTGCTATTGACCTTCTAGCTGATTTCTGTTGAGGACGTTAGATTCCCAGAACTCACTTGGAAAAGGACCTAATTTTGTAATTTTATTCTGAAAATTTGAATCTCTTTTTTTTCGCGCAAAAACTCTCTTGTCACTTTCATGTCGTATTTCCCACTGGGAATAATCTAAAATGCTATCGGTCCGTTGAGTCTTTTGGTATGTTATTTGGTAACTCTCCCCAAGGACGGTTTTGCACTGTATATGTACGTTTTGAATTGCGTTTGTTGTTATCGCTCGTTTCTGGCTGTTTGCAGAATATTTTTTCCCATTCTAAGCTTGGACTTCTCCCTCTAGTTAGCGGGGCTGGGACGCATCAATAGCTAGCTTACTGGTCATTGGTCACCAAGTCTTGTTCTCGTTCGCAGATTAAGTGAACTCGTGATAGCTTCAAACCTAGTATTTCTATATTTCTAGATTACTCGAAATTTTGAGCTCGAACAATGGAGAAACATTTTAAATTAAGAATAGAAACTTTAATTCATGGTTGATTTGTGTACAGAAATCAAGTTTGTTTGTAGATTGACAAATGGTTATTTTTACAAGGAGGAAGCTTCTGGAGATATACCATATTTAGCAACTAATTAAGTAATTGTCCAATTAAACTATGACTCAAAATCTTTCTTTTTTTCATTTGGTATTACACTGGATGAAATAGTTTCAGCTTTTTCTGATTGTCTGGCAACTTTCTATAGAAATACTTGATGATTTTCAGAATAGTATTTGGTAAGTATGTGTAACAACACAAACTGTAAAGTTCATATTAGTCAAGCAGTAGAAAATTAACAAGCTAAATATTGAACCCTTGGAATAACTGTATCGATTTTAATAAAAGAAGGAAATAACTAAAACTCTAGCATCAGTAGAAATGTTAACTGTCTATGAGAAATATTTTACTAGGACAAAATCCCAGTACAATTTCATCTCAACACCTTACGATTCTCTGCCTTTGATTCTTATTCTCTCCAATTAATCAGCCCAACATTGTACAACTTTAAATGGTTAGGTATTTTGAATAAACTTTCCTCAAATGGATTGTCATGACAAGTAATTATAATCATTGTATCAAAATCAGTTAGGTTATTATGAAACAAGAATGATTTGTGCCAATTATCATACAAACATGTATATCACTCAATAACATATTGATCCACATATCGGGATAAAAAAAACTTCATAACTCCATAAAATTGATTGAGAAATTGTCATGAAGTGTGTACTAAGACTAAAACGAGACGCAGCTCACAACAATCATACAGTCTTGTAATGTTTCGTCATAATGTACTAGAAATAGTTACTTCACAACTAGTAATGAATAAGAATTTCAGGTGCTCACAAGAAATTATAAGTAATTGGATTTCCACTGATAAATCACAACATAATTCAGTATTTAAAACACCTACAAAGGTATACTTCACTTAGTGTGAGAAACGAATAGAGCATGGTTGATTCTTGATACCCAAAGCAGACTTAAACTGATAATTAGAAGTTTTTGTTGTATTAGTAACTAATCAGGCTTCGAGTAACTTGTAGCTGAGTAGCACTCACCATTCATTGATCAATAAACAATGGGTTCGAATCCCGCAAGGCGGGATCATGGATGTGCACTGCCACTGAGAAGTCTCATACCAAGACGAAACGGCTGTTCAGTGCTTCCAGGTTTTCTATGATGGTCTGGCTTCAATTGACTCATGAACTCAACTCTTAAAATACTACAATATCCACAAGAACCCCTTTCTGACAATAAATAATCGTTTGAAGATAATTTACCAAAGGGATCATATATATGATACATGAATAAAACATATCAGCTTCTATGCGTATCAAAACAATACGAACTCAAGTTTGATAGTTATGAACAGCTTTTATTATTTAAAAAAAACACAGTAGTTATTGACTAGTAAACAACTGGTTATATTTGTTAGAAATAATTATACATAAGTCTCTCACATTTGCACATGTCCAAAAGCATATAAATACCTATTATTCACCCCTTCGATATTTCCAATCGTTATACATTTTATTCGATTAGTGACTATTGTTTACTTTGATTTCTGTATGTTGGTTACTGATTCTGTCATCTCCTCTTGTTCTTTTACCTTGGAGTCTTCTTTCTTTTCAAGGTCTCCGGTAGATTCCGATTCTTCCAAGGTCGATTTCTTTTTAGTTATATATGGCTAAAGTTAATATTATTTAAATATTGTTTAAGGTTTGATTATATGAAGATGACTTAATAAAATTGTGGAGTTGTTTCATTAAATTAAAGAAACATTTAAAATTCCCGTCATCGGTAATCTAACTTAAGCGACGGAGAGTGTGTGTGTGTGTGTAAGTGAGTATCTCCTCCTCAATGTTTTTAGATAAATTATCAAACTGCTGTTGAATTTCTAAGCCTATCAAACAATCGATTAGTTATCTGTATAGAGCGTTACTGAAATATTCAGTTTGCATCACTGATGACCTTCATTAGATAATTACTGAAAACTGCTAAACACTATTTAGCTGTTCCTTCTCAGTATGGAAATCCAAAACAGTACTCATCCATGAACACATCTGTGATCGGATCTAAAACCTTCCATGTCTCATAGTGAGTGCAACCTATGGTCAACAAGTGATGCGAACTAAAAGTTCTAATAAACCTCTGTTCTCATAATAAATATGTGTTCTGTGATGGGTAAATTAGAATGGTAAACCCTGGAATTCTAATGGGAAGATATAACCAACGTAGTTCTTTTATGAAAACAAGGCCTCTGCCCACCAAATATATTAGGACATAGTTTCACAACGTCAAGAATTGAATGAAGTTAGAAATGTAGGTTATTAGGTCCCAACTCAGCGGTTCAAATGTTAAGCTCTGGCCACAAGAACTGAAAGATCCTAGGTCTGATCCTAGTTGATATGGTGGATACATACTTTGCAACAGTCTCCGTCTAGGATAAGATAACTGATCAGTGCTTCATGGTTTTCAATAGTCATTCGTCTTAGATCCTTCCGTGATGTGAATCAGTTTGTTGATAGTCAATATCATTAAAACTGGCAGTGATAAGCGTAACTAGAACCATTTTTGTAACTAAACAAACTTTCTCTAACCACTTTAGTCGTTTCAGATTCATAGACTCATCAGTCGGTTTGGTGTCTCTACAAAGTATTCTATGGGTTATCTAAAAAAAATACTCGAGAAATAATTGGGATCACATCCTTTATGTTGGCAGACAATGCTGTACAGTTAAAATGCTATTTAATTAGAATTTCATTTGCTATGTTGTAGGCAGACGAATAAGTTTCTGCATCGTAGGTGCTGCAGTTTCATAAACACAAATAAGTTCCCTGTATCAATGTACAGGCTTCATCAGCTACCAACCCACAAGAGTTAATGAACCATTAAAGATAAATAAAGTAATCAATGTATATAACTATTTCAGTTTCTTTTGGTTGACGTAGACAACATTTTGTATTTGAGATCGGTTCGCAAAAACTAATTTCAAGCATTCTTCCAATCAGTTTGTTCAAAAGGATCTAAATGTTACCAGAGTTGTGACTCAACAGGCTTACACCATTTACTACTTCAAGTCGACAAAAAATTGTTTAGGTAAGACACACATCCTTGTTAGTTAAATGAAAAAAAAGACGTTTCTTTGAAATAATAATTAAAAATGAGAGAACTCAGCAATTCTGATAGATTCGGTTTAACATAGCTCTTTCAGATGACACTTTGCCGCAATTTATATTCCAATCAATAGAAACCTTCGTCACGCGCAACGTTTTCAGCTATTAACTACAATTAATAAGTAAGCTTTGACAAGGAGATTGACATTCATCTACTGAACACAAACCAACAACTAATAACTTTGTTAACTGATACTATTTCAAGGTTTGATAGGATTATTCAGTCTAGATGTGGACATAGATAAGTCTTCAAGCAACATTTCGAATTTAGTGTGAGAGTGATATGATATTATATATGATATCAGCTCTTACTTGACTAGTTGTACTCGAGTATAAGGCCTTTAAACCGTTTATATACATTTTCCAACACCTTTCAGCGATCAGCATTGTCGTAAAACATGTCAACCAAATCGATCGAATGTCAAATTCAATTCAACAGATATCGCTATTTTCGGAAGTAGATAGGTACGTACATGTTTACGAACCTGATGAAGTGTGACTATCAGATATCATTATATCTGCATCTAGCACTGAAACCAACTTACAGATTAATCGAAATGATATTGGATTATTTAAATTTAACTAATAATAGTAGTTATAATGGTACTAACTTTTAAAATCACAAATGAACAAACTGAATCTTCATTAATTTGCATAACTGCACCAGCATTATCAAATTCACCACAATAATTTGCTGCACTGAATACGGTTACAACCTCAAAAAAGAAACAAAACAGACAGTCATTAAAACAAAAGATTATGGAAGGTATAGTAAAAGGATGATATACGAATATGCCATGAGACTATAACTTATGGACGACCTTTGACAGATGCTAAAGCGACCTTGGGAGTGTCTACCTACTTACTAGGGCTAAATGAGGGTTATAAAGAAGCTTGAAGAATAGGGATTATAATTTACAGTTGATGGTTAGGGTTAGGAATTAGATTTAGGGTTTTCATCACGAATTAACATCATCTATAATGACAAGACTAGCCAAATGGATGATTGAATTTCGAGCCAAAATCTAAGACTCGTTATCGTAAATCTGATTGGTTCGTCCATAAATTATAGTCTCAACGAACGAGCCAATCAGAATCAAGAGCATGATCTAGGTCTTTGCGTGTAGGCAATAGGAATACTCCTGTATACTGATCAGAATATCTAAAGTAATCAAGAAAAATTATTTTTTTACAATCATGGGGTAAAAATGATATTGATAAACGGATCAAATGATTAATTCTGTCTATTACGATGGGATATAACATGAAAATCGATACTATCGCTAAATCTTGACCATAAACCTTTTATTCTGAACTGGTGTTACTCACATTTTGTTGATGAACTGATCAGATAGCACCACACATACATTTTTTAATAATTTCTTTCATCTAAATGGTTACAAAGCATTTTGACAATATGGCTGATGTCATTCAGTGATAGGACCTCTAATTCCAACTCCATATATCTAACCCTAACCTACAAACAGTTTGAGGACTCTTCAAAGTCTATTTGAATTCTTTTAAAGATTCCAGAAGGGATAATCTGTTCATACAAGGATGAGTTTATTTATCACGGTCTTTTGCATTTATAGACAGAGTAACATGTAGAAGAAAGAAATTTGACAATCGACAAAATGGAATAAACATTGGTTGCAACTGGTGACCTGGATCTTCATCTATGTCTAATCATTTGTTTTCTAACAAGTCTTTTAAGTTTACCAATCTCTGGCACTCATTAGTTACTTCCTGTAGTGTTATATACGTTCATTGTCCAATTTTACTCAAAATTCTGGTTCTAATATCAGCATCTTCGGGAGATTGGAGGCTGCACACAAACATGAGACACTTAAACTGCTCTTCTGTTATTGCTGACAGTTTTAAGCGCTCACATTCACGGTTTACTAAACCCGTATGCTTCACCGAGTCACCATCACCTGCTTTCCTTAAATTGAGACACTGATAACGAATATTAAACAAGGATAACTGTTCAGCAAAGATTTGCGACAAAATATCAATCGTTGCATCTAAATAAAAATCTCTTTGATTCTTTGGAAGGATAAAGTTACTGTAACGTTCATGTACAACCGTTCCAAGTTTTCGTAGGAGTATTCTGACCTTAGCGGAGTTATCAGGTTTTTTTGAGGTCGACCTTGAACAAATCTTCGTATTTCTTGAACCAGATTTCAAAAGTAATGCCAGCCGAACCATCAAAGTTAAATTTATGGATAGAACTAATAATGTGGTCGACAGAGATTTGAAAGGGTCATCCGTAGCCCTTTCTTGATTCAGGTTCATTTGCTGAGTTAGTGTCGCTATAATACGAATCTGGAACTGTTTCAAACGTTTTTCTTGGCGCTCTAGCACGGCTTCAAATTGTTAAAATGACATCTTGATAAGATTACCCCGATAAGTACAATCATTAGGAGCTTTTGTCGTAGAATGATGAGCTCCATTTAATCCAGCTATTTTCATTATGATGCTTGATTCATTTTCTGTTTCTTCGTGGGCGAGTACAGCAATAATTTATTGAGTATTTAATAAGACGTCGTCCTTCTGTGAGCTGGACAAGTCAGTGTTTGTACATTGTGTTTCGCGGACAATAGGAGTTGAACCCGCTAAAGTGCATGTCTCTGAAATGGACATTTCTGGACCACAGGGGGCATCATGTTTGACTGCTACTACTTTGTTTACATTACCGCTTATCAATGATTAACAGAGGCTTTCATCGACACTTTTATACGTTCTGCAGTCATTTTCCAGCTCTGTATGCGAAAAAAATTATTTATCAACTGTCACATCTCCAAAACATGGATGATTTAGCAGCCGTGTGCGTAAATTGTCTAGAACATCCAACTGGCTCTTTTTGAAACGCTGCTGTTGTCGCTCAAATAGCAACTGTGATTGATCGGAAGAGATAGCCATTTTCTAGATGAGCACGGTAATGAAAAACACTGAATGACTAATTAAAAGTCAATGTCGTTGAAGGACACCGGCGAGAATTTTGTATGCTGATTGCTTGAAATACTTACACTGAATTTTTTCCAATTACAGGCTGACCTTGACTCGTTAATTTGAAGATTGAGGGTTCAGAATGTTTTTTCACCCCATCATGTCTTGGGGTTAATAAATCTTCACTTATACCAGTCTTGCGTCCTTACTTTCGCGTCATGGGAATTAAAGAGGCCCCTCGTTTCGAATATAAATGATAGGCGTTTCCGACACAACGATCAGCGGCGACCAAATATAACAAGTAGCATTCAATTGATAAGTTATAACAAATTCATACGACATTGGTTCTGAAGTCCAATCAGTTGGGATGTAAGTTTTGACACCTCTTAATAATCTCAACAGTTTGTATTTATCACAATACAGATTCAAACAAGCCACTTCGTGCATATCCCATTTATTATTTTGTTATAATGTAGCGGACGCCATTCACAAAATTGTATGTACGTAAATGATTAAAGAGTGTGATCTTGAAGTTGTCATAGTCTTCAAATAGTGTGAAGAGTTTCAGTACATTGAAAGCATAATATAGGCAGAACAGTTGATGACCAGAAGAGAAGACAGCTTAGATTATAGAACACTCCGTGAGATACAAATGGATGATCGAAGGCTGTGTATGTGTATAATGTAAACCCTTTGTAATTTTGATGGAGTTTTGTTCTCTGAGCTGGATGGTTTGGTCGTGGAGCTTTTATCGTTCTTCTGAACGACATCATCAGCACAAACCTCTAATTGTAATGACAATTAAAGAGATTGACTGATTAAATGAATTTTGGAGATGATATCGTTTTAATGAATAAGTAATGACTCTTAAATAGTTGAAAATCGTCGAAAATAAAGCCTTCTTTCCTTTAAGCATTATGTTAGCTGTCACTCATCAGTAGGACATATCATCAGCAAATTCGGTCGAATTCATGCTCCCTGACAGATTTGAATTCATAGCATACCCAATTTCACAAACTAGTGAAGAGCAATACCTGAAGGACGTATTTCAAAATAACGGCTACCCAATCAACTTCATCAAAAAACACCAACCGCACGCACCATCAGAACTCAAGTTAAGCACAGAAATCAACAAAAGGATCGCCCTTACATACATAAAAGGTATATGAGAAACCGCAACGAGACTGCTGAAAACCTTCGGAATAGGTGTGGCACACAAACCGACAAAATCACTACAATCAATCCTATGCAAACCAAAGGCTGAAACAACAAAGGAAGACAAATCAAACATCATCTACAAAATAAATTGTGCCAACTGCGAAAAACACTACATCGGACAAAGCAGACGCCTCCTTCACCTCCGCCTACATGAACATCAATTAGCAGTCAAACGCTATGATATCTCCTCACTTATATCAATACACATGGACAACTGCGGACACTCATTCGATTGGAAAAATGTGAAAATCTTAGACAGAGGAAATTCCAAAAACACCAGAGAATTTTTAGAAGCCTGGCACTCAGGTCAATTAGCAATCAACAAGCATATTGAAATCAATCCAATTTACCAACGAATCAGGAAAATTATGCACAAATATATGAACAAAAATCAAACCAATGGGAGACACAACCAAAACAAAGAAGTAAACAATGACAAATTTAGGGTCGATAAGAACCAATCAACCTCGAGGTGTACAGAACAAGCTGTGAAACGCATATGGAGAAATTCGAACACTTCACTTATATCTGAAGTTTATGCTGATGATGTCGTTCAGAAGAACGATGAAAGCTCCACGACCAAACCATCCAGCTCAGAGAACAAAACTCTATCAAAATGTTACTACTAAGCCATTTCCAAACCTTTCCTAATCTAAATACAAATACAAATGTAAGTAAAAATATATTTTTTCCCCTTTATTTTATTCGAAATTTACCTTTTTATCAGCAAAAAATTCATAACCATCTTCAACAACTTGATGTGCTCTAACCACTAACTTAACGTTACAATCATTCATGAAACGAAGTAAAGCATCTTCACCGAATGTATAAGAAACACCACGTTCATTTTCTTTCCAACCAGCATATGACTAAATAATACGAAGAAAATGATTTTCTTTCTAATCTATTTATAAGTGTAATCTTGTTGAAATAACTTTAAAAACCACATTATATATATAAATAATACTCACTTTATTCACTACCATATATATTCATCTGTAAATCAAAATGGGGATCTATGGAGATTGCAGTAATTTTAATAGTTGAATTCATTAATCGATGTAAGTTAAACCATAATTGATAACCTGGAAGTACTACATGTCTGTTACGTCGTGGTATAGGATTACTCATCAGTGTGCATCCACAACCTCACACATGGGACTTAAACCCGGGATCACCGATCTTGTGCATGAACTCTAAACCTCTAGACCATTGAGCCGACCGGCATCTGGCGGCGTTAATGTCTAACTTCCATAGATCCATGAATGGCTGCTAATCCATTCATCCATTGTCTGAGGTAGATACCTGTCTTACCTGACATGGATTGGACTCCACTAGTGACGGCTTCTCACTATAACTCCAGGAAATCTATCTTGAAGCTAATCACTAGTGAGCACATGATTATTATCAGAATAAGGATTTATTTTACCCCCCCCCCCACAAGTTGTAAATATTTGATGACAGCCATAACTGATTAATTTATACAAATCTAAAATAGGAATGTTCATTGAGATAATTGTACACATTTTTTGAGGAAAAATAAGGTAGTCTAAAAGTTTAAGCTGACCGTTTATAAAAGGAAGTAGTTTACATATGTTACACTGATAACCACTGAGCACTAAATAGCTGTATCATCATTGATTGGTATCGTTCAGAGTAAGCATTCATGAATAACACTTTTAATCTAACTAATGATATTTTGATTGGGGTCATAAACTGATTGATGTTAGACAACCATTGAAAACCTGGAAGCACTGAACTGCTGTTTCGTCCTATTGTGGGACTCCTCAGCAGTGCGCATCCACGATCCCGCTCGCGGGATTCGAACCCAGGCCTTTCTGTCACGCGCGCGAACGTTTAACCTACTGGATCACTGAGTCAGCATCCAACGGTGTTAATGTCTAATCTTAATCAATCCACGAAATTGCACGACCATCTTCCATTGTACCGAGGTAGATACCTGTCTCTACCCGACATGGATTAACTCCACTGGCCACGGCTTCTCACTAGAACTTCGATAATGATATTTCGATTCGGTGATCATCACAATACTTACAGACTAGTATGCTGTAAATCAATGGCTTAAGTCTTAACTCAGCCACCTCATAAAATGCTACGGGTGTAAAAATTACCGCACATTTGAAATTCTCCAACAGGTAACAATTTCTGTCTAAAGCTTTCAGAATTTTACCCAAAAGCAGTGACTGAATATTGAAAACGTTTACAATAAGTTTTAATCTTAACAGTCTGAAGGAATCTTTTAAATGAACCTGGTTTTAATAGATTCAATAAAGTGTAAGCTTTCGTTTGTGTATTATTGATTAGCTTCTCTCCCTCTCTCTGATTTCCAATGCTTCTTCACGTAATTTCAGTTCACAGTTAAAACCATCACTGTCACGATCTCCAGTGATTGATCACAAAGGTGTAACTAATGTCCTATTTGTCTAGTCCCCTTAGTGCTAATCGAATTTTATCGATCGATTAGCAGTACAGACACTAGGATATATCACAATAGTAGATTCAGCGTTTAAAATATGAAACAGGGAGATAGGAGTTCAAATTCTCTTACTGATGATGACTAACCAACAAAAAATCATGGTCTAGGTGCTCCTGTCAACTATCTTCTATTAAGTAATACTATCACTACTGTATATGAACACACTATAATTCTGAACTTACTCCATCAGGATCTGACCATAATAAATCACAAATAATACCCATATCTGGTACTTCAGTTGGACGTCGTATTTCATTCAACTTTAAAAGAAGCGGAGTGATTTAAACACATAAAATATTAAAGAATTCAAAAGTAAATAAACAGAAATTCTGTTAAAAAAGTTAAATAAAACTAAAAAAAGAAAGTAAAACAAGACAAAATAGAAGAAGGAGAAGTCGACTGAGAATATCAGCAGAATCTAGGACTTGCGTTTCTTCCTATTAGGATTCATCAGTTGAATGTGCCTAAGTCCTTGTGATGATGTTCATCTCAAGACTTGAGAACAATACATTTCACATCCAGTACAACGTATTGTCCACAGAGCTATCAGCTTCATATAACCAGTGCCTTGTGAATAAAAAAATATGAATTCACACTTTGGATTCCACTGCTAGTCATATTCCACTTATTCCATGAAGACATATGACATAATAGAATCCTCACTGGATGCATTTATTCCCAACTAAGACGAATCAAAATCCTGATTATCAATGTCGAGACAACTGAAAAACTACAAATTAAAAGAGGAAAAATATTGTGTTTTACAGTTTACACCACGAACCGATCCTAGATAAATAACAATGAGGACCAAAAAACACATGACAATAGTTTCTTCCCAGTATGATACTCTTCAGTAGTGTGAATTCATAACCTCTTCATCAATCGAACCAAGGACCTCCAGGACTCTCGGTAAACACCTTGCCTTTAAACTGATGAAGTTAAACGTGTAAACCAACGGATTCCAACTAAGTGGTCTAAAGATCAAGTATTTCCCACGTGTCTTAAACGTCATGAGTTATATTCGCAATGATGTCATGAATACTCACTTCTGAGTCCTTTACTAAAAACAGAATAGTTATCCGGTACTTCCTAATTCTTAGTAGTTGTCTAATTATGATCAATTCATGAATAAAGCCATAAAATTATATAACCTCCATAAACCTCTCTATTAATAAAGAACACTATGTTACAACTTACCTGTTCTAATTTCTTTAAATCTGGTGATAATCCTCCATGTGCACAAAACATACTATTGTCAACTAGTGCGGCTGTGTAGTATAATATCAGAAAGAACAAAACAATATACATAACTGCAAAAAAAAGTCAGATCATGATTTTTGAGAAATCATATATTGACAACAAATGAATGACCATTGAGAAGCATATAGGGAACTGACCAGTTAGATATTAAGTTCTAATTTTAAATTTTCACGGAGCTGAAACTTAGAGAACAAATACAACTGTAGGTATTTATAAATATCTGTCTATGCAAGATACCCAATGTTTGTTAGCTGGATACCATCAGCGACAACCTTCTGTGAAAGAGAAAATATCAGCATCCAAGCTGAAGAGGAAATTAAGCGAAGACTCCAAAGGCGGATAGAATACACATTGCAGAGATCATTAAATTAAATCATAAAGCAAGCCTCAATTCAGGATATTGAAGGTAAGAGGAAAGAGGGAATACCAAAAGAAGATATTGTGTTGGAAATTGAAGGCAGATATCAAAAGAATGGCTAGCACTTGGGAACGATTGGAAAAGATTGCTCAGGACAGATTTGGCTGGAGAATCCCGGTTGGCGGTGTGTACCCCACGAGAGGTAACAGGCACATGTAAGTACGTCGATCCCATCCATAATGTCGCAAAGGACCCCAACAAAACCCTTTATTTCATTGCGACTAGCATATCATCTGTAGATCAGTGAAATTAAATCGATTATTTAAGTTTTTCAGTCTTTCAATAGTTTTAGGACGTATTCCTGAAGTTTTTTTTACTAAAAAGCCATCTTAGGTGGATGTGGAGCATGTTAAATTAGAGAATCAAAACGCTAAAAATATTGGATGATGATGATGATGATGATGATGATGATGATGATGATGATGATGATGATGATGATGATGATGATGATGATGATGATGATGATGATGATGATGATGATGATGATGATGATGATGATGATGATGATGATGATGATGATGATGATGATGATGATGATGATGATGATGATGATGATGATGATGATGATGATGATGATGATGATGATGATGATGATGATGATGATGATGATGATGATGATGATGATGATGATGATGATGATGATGATGATGATGATGATGATGATGATGATGATGATGATGATGATGATGATGATGATGATGATGATGATGATGATGATGATGATGATGATGATGATGATGATGATGATGATGATGATGATGATGATGATGATGATGATGATGATGATGATGATGATGATGATGATGATGATGATGATGATGATGATGATGATGATGATGATGATGATGATGATGATGATGATGATGATGATGATGATGATGATGATGATGATGATGATGATGATGATGATGATGATGATGATGATGATGATGATGATGATGATGATGATGATGATGATGATGATGATGATGATGATGATGATGATGATGATGATGATGATGATGATGATGATGATGATGATGATGATGATGATGATGATGATGATGATGATGATGATGATGATGATGATGATGATGATGATGATGATGATGATGATGATGATGATGATGATGATGATGATGATGATGATGATGATGATGATGATGATGATGATGATGATGATGATGATGATGATGATGATGATGATGATGATGATGATGATGATGATGATGATGATGATGATGATGATGATGATGATGATGATGATGATGATGATGATGATGATGATGATGATGATGATGATGATGATGATGATGATGATGAATAAGAAAAGATAATAACAACTGTCCAAATTTCAACACAGCCATACACTGCTATCATGTAGATGGTTATGCGTTACACATCCACTGTGAAGATCATATGTGGAAAATGTTAAAGAATATTAAAATAAGACAAATATTCTACGGAATTTTCTTTACTTTCCACTAGTACTCTAGATAGTACCATAAAAACTAAATTATACAGTCGCGCCAGTATAATTTATCTTAACAATATTTAAAACAAACTTATTTCATGCATTGAAATATATTCACATTAGAACATACCTAAAGGAAGACAATTAAAACAATCAGTGAATACTTTCCATAATTTTGTTGAATAACGACGTTTACATTCATCATAGAAACCGTAGATACTAATAAGATGAATGATAAAAGAATAATTTTAAAAAAATATTTTAGGAAAAAAACAAATGTCTTCATTATCAGAAGGGGTTTTGTGGATATTATAGTGATTTCAAGGGTTGAGATTATGAGTCGATTGAAGCTAGACCACCATGGAAAACCTGGAAGCACTGGACGGCCGTTTCGTCCTTTTGTGGGGCTCCTCAATAGTGCACATCCAAAATAGGACGAAATGGCCGTTCAGTGCTCCAATTTTTTAAATGGTGGTCTAGCTTCAATTGACTCATGATCTCAATCATTGAAATGTTTTTATGACTATAGCAAATGAAGATTCAATTCAATTAACTTGATAAACAGATTCTAGTTAAGAAAACGCCTAACAGTGATTAGTACTGCATTAAAAGAACATAGGCTCGGATAATTAACGTGAGTTAGAAAAAAATTACAGAATCTCTTAGTAACATCTGAGAACCATCTAGTAAATACTTCTTTTGCGAAATATCTGTCGGTTGTCTACGACTTCATTGTTCTTTTATTTCATCTCATCAATCACTCTCTGTTCTCGTTCTCTTTTCTTCAATCTTCTCAATAATTTACTGCCAGGCATTGCACTTTCAATTTGTGATACATACTACTTATATCTGCTGACATCAGTAGCACACAACACAGTACTATTAGTATTAATAGTACAATACGTTATCAACTCAGAATGTCACACCTTTTCTGAAATAAACTATGAATGTGAAAGTGATGTAGTACTGCATAGTACTTTAGGAGATTAATCCTTTTGGAGATCTGACTTGATATTTCCGATTTGATTCAATAACGGATTGGGACATCAGATCTCGCTGGTTTATTTGATACTTGTTGGTATTCTATTGTTAGAAGTACTGGTTATATCGATTATAAACCTTTTCAAGGCAAGTGTTTTAAATACGTTTTTCAAAGATCCTGTTAGTATATCATGGAATATACAGAAATTAATATTTTTTCAATATTGTATACTAAAGTGTAATTGCGTTATTGCTATACTATCATCAGGTAGAAGTTTAAGGACTTCAATTTGAGGCAGATGTTTTGTATGACAGTTAATGATACCACGCTTCTGCGTAATCCAACGTAATTTAGGTGAGGTTCAAACCCATGACTTTGCGTAGAATTTACATACTTTAATCACTCTATATATAACTAGAACACATTTCGAATGTAATCCTGTGATGAATCAACAGATACATTACTAGGTAGTCATCAATCTACTTGTTATTATTAAGTAGTATAGCATGAAAAACAAAAGTTAGTGATCAATAATTGTATTCCTATCATTTATTACCCTTTCAAATGTCTTTCATTCGAATAGTTAGAAATATCTATATTTCAGGCAAATCGAAGAGTTTTCATGGTCTATACAACATTCAGAGTAAAATTTCTTGTTTTCAGCAGATTATATTACAAGTTATATGACAACAAATTCATAAACTCATTCGGTATTGTTTGCTTGAATCATTCCATCGTTATTTAGGACTGCAATTGATCAGTCTCTTATTGGCTTATGTGCATTCTGTGCCCTATTATTACCTTAAGTCTCAAGCATTATAAGCGAAGATGGATAGTGGCTATCCGTGGAATCCATGACGCACGTTTCATCCTATTCGAGACCCGTGAGCTAGATGAATGGTATTGTGTTCGAGTTCCTGAGTGTACATCAATTCTGGGATGTAGGTACAAGGTGCACATAAACCAGTAAGAGAATGATCAATTACAGTCCTAAACATCAATAGGAAGATTAAAAAACAACAATCAAAAACATAGATTTAAACTCCAACCCATCGCACAAGCTAGTTGTTAATCTACTAACTAATATCGATAGTAACTTTTCAAGTAAGCACATAAATTACTTTATAGTATTTTGATAAAATTACCGGTTTATACGACTACATTCATGATTTCCTCGTAAAACAGCTAATTTATCAGGATATTTTAATTTATAAGCCAAAATAAGCGAAATTGTTTCCAATGATTGTCTACCACTGAATAAATGAAATTCAATTGAAACAAACGAAGATACATTATGATATGAAATGGAATAATTTAAACAAAACATTTAAATAACCGGGTTTTTTTCAACAAAGAAAGGGAGATTTAACATTGATGAATTGTTAGGTTAATATGAAGTATACCGTCTGTATTCACCACAGACTTGTAATACTACGAATAAAACTGAAACACAAGAATCATAGGATAGATATTTTGTTCATCTTTGAACCGCTAACCTAACATGAGATCACACTTGGGATATTTATAGTTACTCAGATAGCATATTTTCATTGTATCTTTGAATGAATGTTCACTGGTTTGTATTTTTAACTGTCCCAATACTTGACATTACTTAACCCATTTATCAGCATATGGTTTTGTGGAGATTATAGAGCTGTCATAGATTTTAAGTTAATACAATTGAGTGGATGTTCATTGGTCTAGAATTCCGCCTGAAGTCCTTCCGGAGTCTAATGCCGATCCCAAGCCCGGATAAGGGAGGAGGGTTGGGCGTGGGGTTAATGACCCCATCCAAACAAGCACAAAATGCACTTATAGGACAGGAATCTTATGGAACAAGGATCATCAAAGCCTCCTTCAAAACAAAGAAAGAGGGCATTTCAATGAACATCATCCAATGCTATGCGCCTACCAACGACTACAATGAAGACGCTAAAGATCAATTCTACAATAGGCTGCAGTCAATCGTCGAGAAGTGCCCAACAAAGGACCTGACCATTCTGATGGGAGATTTCAACGCCAAGGTTGGAACGGACAACACTGGATATGAAGACATCATGGGACGACACGGACTGGGAGAAAGGAACGAAAATGGTGAGAGATTTGCAAACCTATGTGCCTTCAATAAACTGGTCATAGGCGGCACCATATTCCCACATAAACGCATACACAAAACCACATGGACTTCACCGGATCACATCACGCAAAACCAAATCGACCATATTTGCATCAACAAAACGTTCAGGAGGACTATAGAGGACGTGAGAACCAAGAGAGGAGCTGATATAGCATCAGATCATCACTTGCTGGTCGCCAAGATGAAATTGAAACTCAAGAAGCACTGGACAACGGGGCGGACAATATCACAAAAGTTCAATACGGCCTTTCTTCAGGATACTAACAAACTCAACAAATTCAAGATAGTCCTCAGCAACAAGTTCCAGGCCTTTCATGATCTACTCAATGGAGAAGGAACTACTGTGGAGAGCAACTGGAAGGGGATCAAAGAGGCAATCACTTCAACATGTCATGAGGTCCTGGGTCACAAGAAGCACCATCACAAGGAATGGATCACTGTTGATACACTGGATAAGATTCAAGAAAGGAGGAACAAGAAGGCAGCAATCAATACCAGTCGAACAAGAGCAGAAAAAGCCAAGGCACAAGCTGAATACACAAAAGTAAACAAACAAGTGAAGAGGAGCATCAGAACCGACAAACGTAAATATGTGGAAGATTTAGCAACGACGGCGGAAAAGGCTGCAAGAGAAGGAAACATGAGACAACTGTATGACACGACAAAGAAACTCTCTGGAAATCGCCGCAAACCAGAACGACCAGTGAAAAGCAAGGAAGGCAAGGTAATCACCAACATTGAAGAGCAACAAAACAGGTGGGTAGAACACTTCAAAGAACTCTTGAATCGACCAGCTCCACTGAACCCACCCAACATCGAAGCAGCACCCACGGACCTCCCAATCAATGTTGGCCCACCAACAATTGAAGAAATCAGCATGGCCATCAGACAAATCAAGAGTGGCAAAGCAGCAGGACCGGACAACATCCAGCAGAGGCACTAAAAGCAGACGTAGCGGCAACTGCAAGGATACTCCACATTCTCTTCAATAAGATTTGGGATGAGGAACAAGTACCAACAGACTGGAAAGAAGGACTTCTGATCAAAATACCGAAGAAAGGCGATCTCAGCAAGTGTGATAACTACAGGGGCATCACTCTTCTCTCAATACCGGGAAAAGTCTTCAACAGGGTATTGTTAAACAGGATGAAGGACTGCGTAGACGCCCAACTTCGTGACCAACAGGCAGGATTCCGTAAGGATAGATCGTGTACAGACCAAATCGCAACTCTACGGATCATTGTGGAACAATCAATTGAATGGAATTCATCACTCTACATCAACTTCATTGACTACGAAAAGGCATTTGATAGCGTGGACAGAACAACACTATGGAAACTTCTTCGACACTACGGCGTGCCTCAGAAGATAGTCAATATCATACAGAATTCATATGATGGATTACACTGCAAAATCGTGCATGGAGGACAGTTGACAAAGTCGTTCGAAGTGAAGACCGGTGTTAGGCAAGGTTGCTTACTCTCACCCTTTCTCTTTCTCCTGGTGATCGACTGGATCATGAAGACGTCAACGTCTGAAGGGAAGCGGGATACAATGGACATCTAGGATGCAGTTGGACGATCTAGACTTCGCAGATGATCTGGCCCTTCTATCCCAAACGCAACAACAGATGCAGGAGAAGACGAACAGTGTGGCAGCAGCCTCAGCAGCAGTAGGTCTCAATATACACAAAGGGAAAAGCAGGATTCTCCGATACAACACAGCATGCACCAATCCAATCACAATTGACGGAGAAGATTTGGAAGATGTAAAAACCTTTACATATTTGGGCAGCATCATTGATGAACAGGGTGGATCTGATGCAGATGTGAAGGCGCGGATCGGCAAAGCAAGAGCAGCATATTTACAACTGAGGAACATCTGGAACTCAAAGCAACTGTCAACCAACACCAAGGTCAGGATTTTCAATACAAATGTCAAGACAGTTCTACTGTATGGGGCAGAAACCTGGAGAACTACGAAAGCCATCATCCAGAAAATACAGGTGTTTATTAACAGTTGTCTACGCAAAATACTTCAGATCCGTTGGCCGGACACTATTAGCAACAACGTACTGTGGGAGAGAACAAACCAGATCCCAGCGGAGGAAGAAATCAGGAAGAAGCGCTGGAAGTGGATAGGACACACATTGAGGAAAGCACCCAACTGCGTCACAAGACAAGCCCTCACATGGAATCCTGAAGGCCAAAGGAAAAGAGGAAGACCAAAGAACACATTACGCCGAGAAATGGAGATAGACATGAGAAAAATGAACAAGAATTGGATGGAACTAGAAAAGAAGGCCCAGGACAGAGTGGGTTGGAGAATGCTGGTCGATGGCCTATGCTCGATTGGGAGTAACAGGCGTAAGTAAGTAAGTAAGTATGTCATTGGTCTAGAGGTTAATGATTCGTGCTCGAGACCGAAGGTGCTGGATTAGATTCTGTGTCACGTAGCCTTGGATTCACATCACAGAAAAGTCACATATTAGGATGGAACAGCCATTCAATGATTTCAGGTTATCAGTGGTAGTATAACTAAGCTTAATTTATGGTTTAATATCTACATCAATCAATTTACTTAGCTTAGAATCAAGAGATAATCTTAACTTATCACTATAATAAACTATATATCGAGATAATCCTCATAAATGTAACATGGAAGAACTTTTTCGTTCGAATGACCTGTTTTAATATAAGATGGTAAGTTTATTTACGATGATAAACAATAAATGACACTATCATTTCATCAAATATGTAAAACTGTACTTATAATAATGTCATCACTGGACTGCAAATTTAGCCTATTTGCAGTCAATGATAGGACTTGAAACTAAATCAACTGATTTTATTAACAAAGTAATAAAACAAAAAACTGTCTCTTTCAAGTTAGCTTTTCAACGTTGCTCTACACACTACTGAGTAGTAGTGACCTAAGTCATGTTTAGCTAGTCTTTTAGTTATGATCAAATTGTAGTTTGGCCATTAGTCTAAGTAACATGGCATGTTTTATGTTTTAATGTTAAATGGTTTGAAATAATCACTTAGGGGCCTTGAACCTGAGTTTCAGATACACTATGTGAGCAAATGCCAACTAAAATGAAATCTAGGTGAATTGATTTTTTTAGAAGGAGTTCTGTGAAGATTGTAATAATGTCAATAGTTGAGATCATGAGTCAATTGAAACTAGACCACCATGGAAAACCTGGAAGCACTGGATGGCCGTTTCATCCCATTATGGGATTCCTCAGCAGTGTGCATCCACGACCTCCTCGAGGGATTCGAACCCAGGACTGACAAGTCTTAGTGACGGTGTCCAAGAGGTATTTCCTGGAGTTCTAGTGAGAGGCAGTGACCAGTGGTGTTCAACCGGGTCAGTTGTGAGGTAGTAACTCACTGATGACAATGGTGCATGTGTCACTCAATTTCGTGGATTAGTTGAAGTTAGACATTAACACCGTTGGATGTCCCACAATAGGACGAAACGGGCGTTCAGTGCTTCGAGGTTTTCCATGGTGGTCTAGCTTCAATTGACTCATGATCTCAACTGATGGAATTAATTTTTGCTGATTCTCTCCAACTGCCTAACAATAATACCAATCAAGTGGTAATGTAACATAATAATATTACTGTCAGGCAGAAGTGCAAGTATAACTCAATAATTTAGTTATATTTGTCAGTAAGAATTTTAAGAGTTTCAAGTCAAAGAGAGAATAAAAACTCTAATTTTAACCCTATCTGGTATAGACTGCATAGATGGCTAGGCTAGGGTTTTAGGGTTGAACAAATTCCATCTAAATACAAGGTTTTGGTCTAAAGATATGAATTTTTATAGCTTTTTTGATGTGTAAAAGGTAGTCACTCAGTTGCAACGTAGAACCTGGTACGTAGTTTTATCCGTTCGAACTGACATAACCCATTAGCACGGCGAGATGAAATGGTCAGGTCGAATCCTAAAGTAGTAGAGATAGCAACAGTATCAGTGGTAATAGAAAAGATTGGTCATTAAAGGTACGATTCAGAAAAGTATAAATCAGTGAGATAAAACATCATTTCGGAAGATCATTCAGAAGATCAGAATTTGGGGGAAAAACAATGAATGGGGGTACCTGCCCCATTGCAAATGACTTCAAGATATGTCGTTCAAAGTCTCCAACCACTAATTACGATAATCACGCTGATCCCAACCACGTAGACGCCGCCTATTAACTGATCCCATGTTTTGGTTAAACCGTCCATAGCTTTTTTCCAACTTAATCTTACACTATACAACATCACCCGAAGTGATAGGTGGTGGTTTTGAATGTGTCCGATTCTCTTCAAGTATTTCAGTAATACAGTAAGACATAAGCTACTAATATGGTGAACAGTTGTACATGTTCTCGATTCGTATGTTGTCGAATGTAATTCATTCTTCATTTCTTTACTCAATTATATCAAAGAATACAATTATTGATATCTGATATTAATGGATATTTTTTGTATTATTTCAGTATAAGTTTCATTCAACATGAAATGTGTGAATTTTCGTTCAGTGTGACAATTCTATTCCTTGTGTCGATTGAAGTAAGCTACATTCAATATGTGTATGTTTCCACAGTAACTCTATATATTTTCCCCTATATGTGACACTATTAAAAATGTGTAAAAACTATTATATCAGTGATTGTATTTTGATCTAAGGATGGAGTGGCTTTGGGATTTATTTGATGTGTTCTTGTAGAGTCAATAAATCCACATTTCACCAATCTTTTGTGTTTTTACTTTACGTAGTGGAAATGACAGTGGCTCTCAATTGTCAAGTAAAAGCAGGAGGACTGACGACATAATGGACTCAAAATGTACATAACAGCGATGACACACTATTAACTATAACAGCGCTGACGACAAGTTTAGATAAAACAATGACAATCCGAATTTTACAATATTGATAGTGATGAATCAATAATTAATTGAACAATCACTTACTAACCGGTCAACATAATCGCCAAGAAATAAATATTTTTGATCTGGTGGTTTACCACATCGTTTAAAATATTGTAATAAATCAGTATGCTGTCCATGTAAATCACCAACAATAATTAATGGTGAAGTAATATGCACAAGAACTGGTTCACTCATAAATAATGCTCGTGCTGAATGAGCAAGATCTAATAATTGTTGTTCAGTAACTCCACGCTGTTATTTTAAAAGAGAACAAATGTAGGAAGGATCAAAGATCTTAAAATAGGATATATGGCTTAATATAAAGACTAGTGTGAAAGTGTTGGGACTTAGAAAATAGAAAACTACTTGAAGTAATCAGTATTCTTTAAAAAGTTATCAGAAGATTCTAGAAAACAGCGGGGGATTACCAAATATATTACCACTTTCAGTTTGTTTCCAAGGAGCCTCTAAATGTGTATAGTTCGAGAATTACCGTTGTTTTCTGTACAGTAAATTTTCTTTAAAGCAAATTTCCTTCTATATTTCCCACCTTCAATTTTCCGTTAAGATTCCAAGTGTAGAAGATTCCTGTGGTTCAGAAAATCGGTATCTAGTGATTTCAGTGAAATATTCATCAGAAAATACTAAGGGAACATAGGGAATTGCATTTCTTGACAATTACAATTTAGGTGTGCTATGTTTGAAGAGATTAGGAATTCACCTAAATCTGCGAAAGGAATGAAGACAGTAACACAATGACCAAATAAGCTAACTTCTCCGATTCGTCCAAGCCCCGCTAACTAGAGAAAGAATTTCAGCCAGAAGTACGAACAACAACCACAAGCACAATTCAAGCATATATATACAACATAAAACTGTCCTTGAGAAAACGTTACAAATCATCATATCAAAAAGGATAACGAACCAATGACATTTAAGGTCCTCGAAGTGGGAAATATCATATGAAGATGAAAATAGCCGCTTTTGACCCGAAAACAAGAAATTCAAATTTCCAAAATACAATTACAAAAATAAGACATTTATCAAGTGATTTCTGGGGATCTAACATCCCTAACAGGGTAAGGAATAGCTAGGGAAGCTCTAATGCGATGCCCAGTGAATACTATAAGAATAATTAACAAATCACGATTTTATTGATCATTCTTTAGTTAATTATTTGGCTAACAGACCTAAAAGTTTTGCTTCGTTTGTATATATTTACTAGGTTAACTGGTTCTGTGAATTCAGTCTCATCCATTGTGAGACAAGACTAAATCAGAATCTCAGAACAATAAATTCATGGTAATAATAGTTTAAGGCCATTATAAAGACACGAGGAACTTCCTTTATACATTACGTAATCTAACACTTTGTGTTACATCGTCACTTCCACCCACAGTTTGTGCTGATGATGTCGTTCAGAAGAAAAATGAACCAACATCATTTCCAGATAGATTAAACGTTAATCAGCTCTATAAAGCTATTTCATCCTAGTTTATACTCTTAAGTAATTTGCATCATTGTTGATCAAAAATATTCAAGTTTCATGACAATCGAAATATCTGAGAGTCATAATATAAATAGTCTACATCCATTTGTGATATAGCACTGTAGCGAACGAGAATACCAGTTGGGACAATCAAATGTATTTGAACACAAAATTACAGAACATTTTAGTAAAATCTGAAAACCATAGAGTAAATACTTCATCTACAAAATGTCAATCAATCGTCTCAGACTTTTTTGTTCTTTCGTTTGCACGCCAATCACTCTTTGGTCTCGTTCTCTTTTCTTTGATTATTTTTAACCTTTTGCCTCCAGGCATTGCATATTAGATTGGTGATACATACTACTTATATCTGTCAACATCAGTAGCACACACCACAGCACGATAAATATTCAGTATTGTCAATAGTGGTTGACATTATTATTATTATTAAACATTTATCGACAAATACACCGTGTATACATAGGATTATTGTGAGTGTACAGGTTAAAGACTTGGAAGTATACTACAAGGATGCGATCAGAACTAAATGACTAAACAAAACTATGATTGATCATTAATTAATAATTAGTCAGTTGTAAATATCTCAGTGCCCTTAAATGCCCTGTTACGGTCGAGGGTGGGGGGAGGCAGCTTTCCTCTCGAGATGCTCTCACATTGCCACGCGTATACAGCCACTGCCATAGAGGTCCTACTCACTGCCTTCTCGTGACATTATTGTTGTTTATGAAATTTAGAGGACGAAAATAGAATATCCGGCGCCCTAACCGGGTTGGTGAATATGGATGATCCACATAGGGGAGTTGGAAAACCTTGATTTCAAACCAATGGTGTACATGGGCTCCAGGATCCTAAAGAAACAAATGGCGTATGAACCTATTGTTACTCACTGACTACCATGGGACTGCATCTCCTTACGTCACTCCACTACATTGTGGATCAGACATTTAGGTTGAAGGTTCCGGTTGTGTCCTCTTAAAAAAACCATCTGCTTCGGTTTGAGTACCCTGGTAGTATCGCAGTCCTCACACAAATCGAACGATGTAGTGTGGCGCATATATATTCGGTGCCCCTTTGTACCAATATTTATGTATTCAAATAAATAAATAACATCGATTCTACAAAAGATAAATCGTAACCTGAATACATCAGTGGTCACATCAATGAACTGTGATGTTAGACAATGCAAGTTTACGGCTCACATGAACTATCACCATCTTCAAGAGTTCAGGTACATCATGTTGACAAATGCTAAGTTATCTTGTTGTTTATTACTACTAAACAACCTGTCAGCTAATAGTAAATTTTAAAACAAATTTATTTACCATTAAAATTTTAGCTCTACTACTACCAACTTGACGTTGATTATTGGCAATCGTTTTTTCAGTTAATTCAATTGGTAAATCTTTTTTATCATAACTAAGAACTTCAATTAATTGATCTAAATTTAATTCTTCTTGGGATTGCTAAAATTTAACAAAAAAGAACAAAGATAGATATTAGTATCAGTAAAAGTGGAGATTGTAGTACTTTTATTAGTCGAGTTTGTTGGGGACGATAGTTCCCCAACAAACTCATCTTTTGTAATTTTATCTTTGTGGAGCTGGTATGCAGATGCATGCTGGGGCATTCCTTACCACTCACACACATAGTCGATCGACGAACTTATCGATTAAATGTTTAAAAACTTCCATGGCAAAATCGATTATATATATAATTGTATAAATACGCTTGATTGTGTGCCTGATTGACCTAACCTGACCTGGTATCTTCTGGTTGCCTGTAGAATACACTTTCTACGTCTTACCAAGACTTCTTGGTCGAGTGAGCTGAGTCGGGAACAACGGACCAGAATAGTCTATCGAGACTCTGAATCCTTGATCCGATCGATAAGTCACTGCCCTCTAATCGGCGGCCTTGAGATACAACAGAGTTCATGAGTTAATTAAAGCTAGACCATCATGGAAAATCTGAAAGCATTGGATGACTTTTTCGTTCTTGTATGCCTACTGCTGAAGAGTTCCATAATAAGACGAAACAGCCATCCAGTGGTTCCAGGATTTCCATGATGATCTAGCTTTAATTGACTGATAAACTTAAGTATTAAACAGATATTAGTCATTAAAAAAAGAGAATAAACTCTTCATTGTGTGTATGCTAATATAAACTACTCCTAGAAATTCAAATACAAGGATTAAACAACATATATAAGCGAACAATATTGTTTTCGATTAGATCCTTATCAGGCTTTACTCTAAGTGTTAGTGAACATTTCCCTTTGTTTTTAGGAGAAGATACTGTCAAGACAACATGCCGCTCGGTTCTATCACACTTGATCGATAGCGGTCATGTAGTAGACAGAAATAAATCCTTTAAAGTTGTTTATCGTATTCCCACTTCTACCATTTCCTTTTTTCCTCAAATATACGTTTCATAGTCCAATTATCTGAACACTTTTTATTACGTAATCTTTTATGAATGTTATTTCAGTGTCTATATTTTTCTAATCATTGACCTATTTGAATAGTTGAATTTATGAGTCAGTTGAAGCTAGCTTACTATGGAAAACCTGAGAGCACTGGACAGCCATTTCGTCCTATTGTGGGACACCTCAGCAGTGCGCATCCATGATCCCGCCTCGTAAAAGTCGAACCCAGAACCTATCAATCTCGCGCGCAAGCGCACAACCTCTAGACCACTGAGTCGGCATCCGACGGTGTTAATGTCTAACTTCAACCAATTCACCTACTTCCTATTATGAAACGTTGATTCAAGCCTTTATTATTCTTATCACTACTAGTACACTTGTCATCACACTATCAATTTATACTCTTTACTTATTATGTAATCTTTTCCACTCATAAACTGCCTTGATTGGTTTAATCGTTTTGTATATCCACATAAATATTACTGTATATTAGAGTAAAACCTGATGAGGATCTAATCGAAAACAATACTGTTTGCTTATATATGTTGTTCACAATAAAAATATGGAAATTTTACAAGGATAAACTATCTAGAAAGCCTTCTCTTTACACTTTCATACATGTGTACTGACAAGATTAGGAAAAGGGATTCATCAATCACTGAATAGTAACATTTTTTGTCATCTAGTAAATATAATTTGAATATCACATTAAAATTGAAGTGATCTTCTTGGTTTTATATCAGTGAGAAAGACTATACCTCTCTTCTATGTAGCTGAAGTTATCAGGATTAATTCCAGTGAAAACTTAACTTTTATGATCATCTTTATTTACTATGGCCTATGTAGATGTATGCAAATATTACATACTGATATCACTGATTATCTTTTTATGTTTATTAATGCCCTGACTCATTCTTAATTTACACATCCATTTTCACCAATTCACGTGAAGTTCTTATCACTGTTATCATAATTACCATGACACCATCTCTCTTAAACATATCAGATGTATGGAATCCTATGGCAGTGTGTATCCATGACCGAACCTAAAGACTTCAGGTCTTGTGTCTAACGCCTAGTCAGTATTCAACGGTCGATATTTCTAACACCAGTCAGTCACTAGAATAGCTCAAGCATATTCAAACGGACATTGGCACCTAACATTGTGTCTATTGTTCCTTGGTTTCCAATAGTGATTTAATTAAGTTACTTTTAAAGTGTAAACTTCGACTGATATAATAGCTAGCAGAAAAAAACTAAATGTTTTATAGATAATCATTAGTTTCATGCTGCTTACGAATATTGTATCCGAGACTTTATATTATTATACTTAGTAACTACTCAAAACTATTGATTCATAATGATTCATCATGAAGTGGGATAGACTTGAAAATCACTAAAATGTAGATCTAATAAACTGAAATGCGGCACTTCAAAAAATATCATGCTACACTGAGAAATATGCTATTTGTGGTGGTGGTGACGGTGGTGAGAGAGGTTATCCCCTGCTGATTATGAATTTACACCACTGCATGGCTCTGTTCTAGCTCAAAACACTAATCTAGCATTTTGGGATTTTCAACGATCTCCCATAAGCTTTTATATTTAAATACCGAATCATAAAACAAACAATTTCCAATATACATTACATTATAACACTGAATAGAATACAACAATACTAAACATACCATTTATATATATACTGATAACAATAGTAAAATTCTGTTACGTAATTGGTATAATACATAAACTCAATCTGGAAGTACCAACACTTTTATCGTTTCCCTAGTTGAAAGTATTCAATCATCTAAGATAATATTCGTTATGAAGATTGAATAAGAAAAGAATAAATAATGATCTACTGAATTCATTTTTTCTTTATGCATGTCTATCGTTGTATACGTGTGTGTGTGTGTGAGTGAGTGAGAGAGAGAAAGAGAGAGGGATCTCTTGTGTATCCAATCTCAAACCAATAGTTCCATAAATTTCGAACCTTGACTAATTAAGGGCGTTTCACTAAGAAATGTTATGTATATGTATATGTAACGTCAAAATAACCGAATAATAAACGAAATTATATTGAAATGTAAAAACGTCTTTTTTGAAAAGAAAAAAAAAAGACGATTGGTTCATAGAAACTGTTACCTACTATAAATGTACTTAACTAATTGAATAACACATATTCACACAACATACATATAATGAATATGGATATAATTAAAAGATAAATATGAGATCAGTTGATATGGTAACGCAAGTAAACGAGAGATTAAATGGAATGAGTTATTTTTCATTTCGAATCATAGATAGAGGAGGGGTGGATGGCAGTTGACGATGGTGAATATATTACCTTCATGAGTATCCGTTTTATTGTGATAAAAAAGGAAATGACATTATATCGACCCTTTCTTGATAATATAACTGGTTATAGATAAGTTATTAAATGACATTTTATCTTTCATTAAATATTGAATTTGAAACAACTCGTTCCATATCATCATTGTAAGTAAATCAATTTAGTATAATTTCAAGGAGGGATTCAATCTTTTCTAGTTTACTATTGACTTAATGAGAATAATTGAATACATGCATATATCAGAATGGGTTTTGTGAAGAGTTTTAGAAATTTCACAGGTTGAAATCATGAGTCGATTGAAGCTAGACCACCATGGAAGACCTGGGAGCACTGGACGGCCGTTTCGTCCCAGTGTGGGACTCCTCAGCAGTGCACATCTTCGTGGCGCAACTTTGCGGATTGGTTGAAGTTAGACATTAACACCGTTGGATGCCGGCTAAGTGGTCTAGTGGTTAAGTGCTCGCGTGCGAAGCCAGTGGGTCCTGGGTTCGAACCCCGCGTGATGCGGGATCATGGATACGCACTGCCGGGGGGTCCCGTGTTAAGACGAGACGGCCGTCCAGTGCTCCCAGGTTTCCCATGATGGTCTAGCTTCAGTCGACTCATGGTTTCAACCTGTGAAACATGCATATATACTACTGATTAGTCTTTGTATACATTTAGATTTTTTAATTTCTAACAAGGGAACCTCTAACAAATGGAAAATACATGAGGGTCTTTTAATGAAAAGGAATGCAGAAAAGCATAAATAAGTCAGATAACTTAAATGCAAACTGACCTAAATCTTAGAAATTAATATGAATCCCTACAAATTGGTATATCCATCTGTGTTTATTAATGATTCTTATTGTTATATCCCGATGAGAATAATGAATGGTAACTGTAGGAATCCATTTATGGACTAATACTAAACGTATGTTTTTATCGTATAATTGTTAAGTAACTAAACTACTCATATTCGTGTTCCTATTATCATAAGCTTTATCTTGATCTATGAACTATTATTATAGGATTTACCGTTGTTAAGTTATGCCCAATCTATCAATCACTATCTCCCACATTCACAGCCACTTTTGGCTAAATCTTATACAAATGTTATTTTCTATTTTATGGCACGATGTGGTCTGTTTGGTTTGTATATATACCCAGTATGTTTGAAATAAATTATTCATATCGCAGAAGCTGAGATGGGTGTTCTGGACTTAACAGGCTGGGCTAGGCGGGAAGTAGGACAGATAAGGACTCTAGACTTCACGTACGGGTTTTATGCGTCCTTTGATCTGGTCGATAATTCCCTGTTCTCTAATTGGCGTTTTCATCACGTTATACATTAATAGGACACAGGGCAAAATTTATAGCACTTATCAGTTGTTTACAAACACAAAAATGAAAGGATCTGTGAATAGATTAAATGAACAAAATGAATATGACAAGTTGTTTAAAAAAAAGTCCACCTAATGATTTACACCAAATGGTTGATTCACGTATAAAATCCACAATCCGACACAAGTTATTTGTCCAGTTAAAAAGGTGTTCAAACCCTTTAAAAGGTATGAAAATACGATTAAAGACAAATCGCTTTACAACTGTGTTAAATTCAGTGGTAGAAGAAAATAAGATAAAATGACATAAACTACTGAATATTAGTAAGTAACATGATATAATCTACAAAAAAAACGCCT